TAAAATGGGGAACGGGGGAACCGGTAACATGGAAAATAACTATTTTTTACACTCAAGCGTACACAAATAGTACAGTCAATATTTAAATGTTTTTTCGATCTTTTACTATTAACTTGACACTGAACTAGTGTCTGAAATGCACTGTATGCATTGAACAGAATACAACGATAATCATACAGTATATGCACTAGACTAGTACTCTATCTAAACTATGCATAAATACTTGATATACAAGCACTGTATTGCACTTATGCATGTCTTGTTTCTATTTAACCGTTAGCATCTTGAACATGTCAAAGTGGCCTGATGTGATAGTATATTTGCAGTCGACATTGACGATTTGAATACAGAATATAAAGAAAAAATTACAACCAAATTACAATCATCGATGAAAATGACTTGTTTACGACAATTACGCGATTAAATGGAAAACAGGCTAAGTATGAAACAAAACTGAACATTAAAATGGTGCACTAAACAAGTGCCAGAACACGTTATACAGTAAACAACTATAACTACGAAATGGCTCTATAGGGCCGGAGACTATGCTATATTAGACTCGCCGATAAAACAAAAGCTGAAGAGATGAATATTTTAAGTTTTGTCGCTATAGCCTATATTGTCGCTATATTGGTTTTTTAGGTTTTATAGATTTCGAAAGGTAAGAAAGCAAAATTAGCCATTCTCATGACACTTGGCATTTTTTTTCTTTTTATTACAGTAAAAAGCGGAAATTTTCTTAGTTCGCCAGTAAAAGCATCTTAAAGCTGCCTAGTTGTTCAATGAAACATAGCCGGAAAATACGCGATGAAACGATTAAACAAATGTGCATTCAGTTTGTCCAATGTTCACGTGAAGAATCTCACTATAGGTCGGATCAGTTTTATCAATGAAAGCAAATAAACACACGAAATTTCAGAGTGTGCATGTACCGAAAAAAATTATTACATTGCCACACAAAAATGACGTTCCCCCGTTCCCCGCCCCCGTCCCCCGTTCCCCTGTTCCCCTGTTCCCCGTTCCCTATTTTAAAGATAGCCCGAGTTAAAGCTATATAACTCCGAAAACTCGAAATGTTTTGTAGTGTATTTTGTCAATATTTTAAAATTAAAACGCGAATTTAGAAGTATTCTTTGAAATTCGTCCTATCCAGCTAATCTGAGATCATGACGTCATAAGGCGTCTCAACAAAATCGAGTTATCTTGCGCCTGTTGTTATATGTCCCTATTTTCCTAACTAATAGTGTGAAGGGCGAAAAGTTTTAAATTCTAATTTACAGTTGGGAAAAAATGTGTTTTCGCAAAAATATAATAAAATTACTTACTATTTTCGAGTTTCGAAGACATGCAATGAATGAAATGATAATTCAGTTTTGTCGAAAATCTGGCTTCTGATTGGTTGATTTTTACACCCAGATCAGCTGGATATTGTTATTCTACAAATATGCAAACTCTCTGCCTGCTAGTTGACACACAATAAAAAAGCAGCTCCGACAACGTTTCACTTTGGCAAACACATTAACACAATTTGACAATTCGGGTCAAACATGGCAGTCGACAAGGCAAATCAGATCGCACAAACATAAATTTTTCACCTTTCGAACAGCGTTTTTTCTATACTTTTGCTATTATTGAAATTTGGCCGAAGGAGCTTACCAGAAGAGAATGGGTGGTCGCGTGGCGCGTGGAAATGACGTAAGAATGACGTGTATTTGGCAAAACCTCGGGAACACAATCGTGAATCGTTTCAACTTTCAAGTTTCACTTTCAAAAATCGGAAGAGTCAAGCTCTGTCCATATCTCCTCTGTGCCTTTAGCCATAAAAGTGAAAATAAATATAATGGAAGAAATAAAATTCCATGTCCTTGGAGATGGAAATAAGAAAAATTCTATACAATGTTCCGGGCGAGAAGATCAAACGCTGAAAGAGGCTATCGAAGAACAGGAAGGTTCTATTTTATCCAGCCCAATACATTGGTATGTTTTCAAGGCTTCTGTTAAAGCATTTAAATCTGGAGAGCCAGTAGAGGTTTGTGATTTATATATCAATATTTTGTAGGTTAGTTAATCTAAAAATTGCGACAAGTAAGATTGTTTAATCTGAAAATTGTGACAAATAGATATTTACATTTTTGGTCAAGCTTCAGTCGGTGATGGCTATATTAAATGTTTGTTATAAAGTACATATACTTTGAATATATTTTCTTCCTCACCGGCTAACAAACAATACATCGCCGCCTGTCGGTGACATGCTACATTACTTGGCAGTTGGCCCTCTCTCCCCACAAAAAATGTGGACTAGGACAAAGATGTATACATGTACGTATCATGGCTGTAATGTGTCACCCCAATCTCGCCTCCAGAGTATATATAAGCCAGTTTCCAGATCCGTATGAGGCATAACGGCCGTTTAACCCACCATTGGGCTTGCTTACTCTTGAAGTTTTTGTATTTCCATGTTTGCCTGTGCCAACAGCCTAGAAATCTTTATTATTATTATTATTATTGTTGACAGCTATGTTCCAATATAACCAGGGAGCAGTGTGGCAGCGTCTTCAAACCACTTTGCATCAAATGTGGTATGACAACTGCCTAAAATATACAAATAATAATATATAATTCATAATTAGTATATAGTTCATACTAACTCTCCTGAGGAAGGCCCTCAGGTCAAAAGGTGGAGAAGTGAAAGCTTAATACCACGCATTTACAATATTTTCTTTCTAAAAAGATATAACTACTAAAACTTTCTGCGCCCTGAAACTTTCTTTTCCTGCCGGAATTATGGCGTTTGCCACCATGCTTTGCCCCCTGAGTAGCCGCCATCTTGCGTTTGATAAGCTTGAAAAAACAGCCTGTTATTTCAAGTTTCATATATGCGCAGAAAAGATGCACACACAGTGACACTGCTCCTTTAAGATATCTAAATTTACAATAAAATTAGGCTAAAATTAGAAATCAAGCTAAAAAGCTTCAAAACTTTAGGGTCTTGTTAAACTACGATTTTAGCACTTTATGGCATACACTATATATGACTATTCTAGTTTCTCTTTGTCTTGTATCTCCAACACATTCTGGGAGTAGGTTGTGTAAATGATGGTCTGACATAGACATGTTTGCGATATAATTGACCCAATTGTTCTCATGTCTCAATTTTTGCATCTTAATATTGTTTAAAGCTACAGAATAATCAACACCCAGTACTATTATTCTGAATGCTTTTTTCTGTATTCTTTCAATGTTACCACTTTGCGCATTGGTTAAACCTCGATGCCACAATGCGTCTCCATATTCAAGAGTTGATCTAATTTACAGTAAAATTGTGGAAGCTCAGGAGGAACATCCTTAAAACTTGTCCATCCACAAAGTACTGTAACTCTAATCTCTGGCCTTCTTTGTCTTCTGTTGTAGTGTTGTTGTAAGTAATCTGTCAACATTTCAATCCTAGCTGTAGTGTTGTATATCAATCCAATTTATTAGCTGACCTAGCTTATATACACATGATTAGTATAATTAGCATAAATACATATATTACATACTACATTCCTCCTCTTCTCTAGAATTACTATAAGTCCTACCTATATTTTAATATATATTAATATATTTTAATATATATTATACGATTAAAATTGTTTCTCTCTGCCTGATGAAGTTATGGAGAAAGTAGCTACTGACTTCTATGGCCCACTCCCATCCGGAGAATATCTGTTGTTAGTTGTGTGCAAATATTCAAGATATCCATTCATTGAAGTTGTGACATCTACATCAGCAAAGGCTGTCATTCCGAAATTTGAGAGAATTTTCTCAGAATTCGGATACCCAACGGAAGTTACTGCCGATAATGGACCTCCGTTTAGATAACAAGAATTCAAAGAATATGCGGCAGAAAGTGGTTTTACGGTACGAAATATTACGCCCGCAGAGCCCAAAGCAAATGGACAAGCTGAGAGATTCATGAAGAATATAGCGAAAAAATCCCTACGCAACTATCGGGCAACACCCCATCAAACAACAGGCAAATCCCCTGCAGACTTAATGTTTCCCAATCGAAACTTCAAGACGAAAGTTCCTACAATGAAGTTAGTTACACCCTACAATCATGACAAAGAGGTACAACAGCAAGATCAAAGAAAGAAGCAAATGATGAAGGCGTACGCTGATAGCAAACGATACGTAAAAGAACATGAAGTGAAAGTTGGAGATGCCGTATTGGTTCCGCAGAAAAAAAGAAACAAGCTTACCGCCCCATTTCGAAGTGAGAAGTACTGTATATAGTAATTAAAGTTAATGGTTCAATGATAACAGCTCGGAGCCAATGGTGTCATGTTGTTACGAGAGATGCATCAAAGATGAAGAAACTTCGGGAATATCGAGATCTCGAATTTGAGATAGGTGACGATGAATTAGTTCAATCGGACGAAGAAGTTTAAGAAGAAAGCAAAGAGAAATCAGATGAGGCACCGCAGACGGGAATGCAAAGGCAGCCATTAAGACGATCCAGTAGAGTGAGAAAGGCAACCATGAATAATAAATATAGAGACTATGTGTGAAAGATAAGCGGACACGACAATTAATAAGTTACTTATTAATTCGAACATTACAACAATTTGAATTATAGTATAATTTGAATGTATAGTACTGTATTTTGTTTCTGGTTTAAACTTCGAAAAAAAAAAGAGAGAAACGATTAATATAGGTAGGACTTATAGTAATTCTAAAGAAGAGGAGGAATGTAGTATGTAATATATGTATTTATGCTAGAAGTCAGTAGCTACTTTCTCCATAACTTCATCAGGCAGTGGTGTCATCTTCAGTGGTAGTCTTGAGGTCTGAGGCGTCACAACTTGGCTTGCCATGCATCCACGAACAGTCCTTTCAGTTAGGGCATCCATCCCTGGGAACCACACTCTGCTTCTTAAGTAACCCTTGGTCTTTGTTGTACCCTGATGACCTTCATGCGCTGCATCAACAACTCTTTTTTGTAAGCTTCTAGGTATAACCAATCTTTCACCTCTCAATAACAATCCGTCTATAACGGAGAGCTCAGGAAAAACTATAGCATATGGTTGCAATTCCTGGTCACTGAGTTTCTTTGCTGTTACCACTAGGTTAGACAACCACGTAGTTGGTTCCCCTTCAGGAATTCTTTCAATTTTGGGTCCTGTTTCTGTTATTTGCTTATCTTCCCACTTGTCAAATTCCTTTATCAGCTTGTCTTCTAGATGAATTGGTGGTGGTTGCGCCACTGGTTTTACCGATAAATATATTGATTGACATACTTTATCTTTCCGTTCTTGTCTTTCAGAGTCCCGACTCCTTGGAATCGATCTTCAAACTTTGCAATAACGTCCTGAAGTTTAACGCTCGCACCTCCTGTTTGCCCTTTGGACTTCAAACTTGATCTCTCTATTTGCGCTTTATTGTCTGAGCTTGGCCCTTCCATAACTTTACATACTGATCCTCTGTTTATGTTAAATGTTATATATAATTCCTAACTTCTCAGCTACCGCTTTACTCAGTAGAGAACTTTTCCTTTGCCGCTCTGGAGTATCAACTACTGTACGTAAATTGTTTCTTGTACTTGCTTATCTTGATATTCTATCATTGCTTTAATTAAATTTCCTGATTACTTTTAGTGTATCATTGGAACCATATGGCGTTAACTTTACATCAGTACACTTAAGAGGATTTTCTTTGTCCATACTGAACTTAAAGTATTCTTGTTTAGTCATGATCATACTACTGGAACCAGTGTCAATAACAAAGTTAATTAATTGCCCATTAACTTGAACATTTACTCTTTCATGCAAGCCACCCCGTAGTTCATAGACATGACCAACTACCCCTTCACTGTCTGAAATCTGACTCACAAGCTTTCCATGTTGCCCTAACTGATTTAGTTTTTGTATCTTGGTTTTGACAACATCGACCGAAATGAATTTTCTTTAGACACTTGCGGCATTCTTTGCCAAAAGCAGGGCAACTTGCTAGTCCCTTGGGGTGAGGAATTTGCACTTCTTACCCACAGAATTTGCATTTCTTACATGTACTTGAATCAAACATTGCTTTCTGATTTTTTTCAAGCTCATACCGTGAGCTATATTTTCCATAACGGCCCTTAATGGCAAAAGTCGGCTCAGCTTTTGTCACTATTTCACGACCCGCCGTGTCCGTATTACCAATCATTTCTCTGTCATGTTGTTTCATGCTTTCTCTGCTACGGTCTCTAGCTAAAATATCGTCAAGGTTGGGTACCCCACTTCGAGATAAACAATATTCACGAATGCCTGGGACTCAGGAACCACAGGTAGTTTAAAGGCTATTATCTTCAAAATTGTTGCACTAAATCAAAAAACTTTTTTAATATATTAACTAACTTTTTACATTCTTTTCAAATGCATAAAGATTCCACGAGTGATATAGGCACTTTAACCTTTCCATCATTTCCTTCTGGCCAATCTACTAGCTCAAATTTGGCTTCGACATCCTCAAGCCATTCGAGGAATCTAGGCCTACTGGAATCCATTGAAAAGGACTTATCCAATTCGTTCGAAATAACTCTTTCATGTTACGTACCTCGTCGCCAAATGTAGTGTTGTATATCAATCCAATTTATTAGCTGACCTAGCTTATATACACATGATTAGTATAATTAGCATAAATACATATATTACATACTACACTAGCTATTCCATATTCTTTGAATCCAGCTTAATTCTTTCCTCCTACTAACTTAAGCACGTAGGATTAAATATTTCAAATGCGGTGATAATAGGGAGGTTTCCATTGAATTGATCTTTGATATTTTGTTTTAAAGCTTTGATGTACTTTGTTCTGAGATCCTTCAGCTGATATGAAAATGACTAATGACACCCAAATCACATCAAGACGACCGGTTAGCAAATATTTAACGTAAGCAAATATCCAAGGATGACTCGATCTAAACAGAACAAATGATATACAAAGAATATTAAACAAAGCATGCACAGGGTGTACCCTGGGGCGGATTAGCCTACCGGGCGATGCCCCGGTGGGCCCCCACTTTTGTAAAATAAGGGGGCCCTTGCTATGAATGCTTGTTATTGCTTGCAATGTCTCAAAACCTGTTTGCGATCGAGCCTATTGGAAATAATTGAAAAAAAATAAAGTCAAGATCTCGATCGGAATACAGGAAAACCGAAATTATGTCTTGCAAATACGGGACAGAGTTAAACCAGTATTGTATCGTAAGTTGCACTTTTACGCGTGTTACGCAAGCCCAGTGCATACCAAACAATGGCAAACATTCCGAACATTTTGCTGACTGATGTTATAGATAAATATAGACCATCGATGTCAACATATCGGTGACATAATTTACTAAAGGGCTTTAGCTTAGCATATATAAACGCACATTATGTAAATAAGTAAGATATAGTATATAAACCAATTCCGAAACTTAGTGGCTGCGCCTTCATATTGCACGAAAACGAGGCTTATTGTGCAACAACGATTAAAAAAATCCCTATATTTCTATATACTGAAAGTTAAATTTTTGGGTTTTAAAAAATGTGATTTTTTGCAATCTCTTTGATCTCTTATCAATATTTCGCGCTCGATAATATAAATCTAGATGAATTTATCTTAATATCGGTCTTTATAAATTTATCTTTAATATGGTCAAACTTTTGAAGTAACGCTTAGATTGTCTTCCTTCAATGGCGTCATCAGGTGGGCCCTTTTAGGCTAACGCAAGTAGGCCCTTTAATATAGTCAAACTTATGAGATAACGCTAATCCGCCCCTGGGTGTATCAGAAAAAAGTTTACACTTGGAAAATGTCTTCTGGACGTACGCGCACGCATCGTTAGGGAAATATTTTGGTTTGTGTAGGTAGTTTGAGCCCTTGAGACATCCTGTACAGAAAGTTTATAAAAAATTAGCATCTTCTATTTCATACTTAGATGCAAGGTATAAAATTTGATATTAGAGTGATCGTACTGATAGGTAATATATATAAGAATCATAATCTGCAGGGGCCGGTTGTATCAAGCCCGTTTAGCTTAAACGCTGGTTAAGCTCAAAATAGTAGGCAAGACTATCGTTTTATTCAACAACCGAACTAAATGTTTTTAACCTTAATACAAAGATTCTTGTTTACAACTACATATTCACTACATAATATTCAATTGACTCATTCGAGCGAGATGTAGGGGTGTTATTTAGCTTTGACTTATCCACCGTTTAAGCTAAACGGGATTGATACAACCGGCCCCAGGTGCCACGATTTGAAATAATGTGTGTTCAAAACAGTATAGAGCACAGTGAAGAAAATTGAGTTTACAGCGACTCACTTGCGTGACGTCACGGAAATCACTAGTTCCAATATCCTTTTTAGACAACTGTGGTCGATCCAGTGAATCCGCTTCGGTAAACTTCTCACAATAGAGAAGAGAATTTTTCGTTCGATCGAGGAAATTCCGCTTATATTGCATGAGTACACGCCTTTAGTAAAGCCTTTAGAAACGTTTTGTTGTTTTAAACGGACGCTTTGTCTCCTAGCGATATTCTTTTTCACAGCTTGTGTTTTTATATAGACGAAACTCCGATTAACCTCTACTCCGGGTAACGTCTCGTTGTGGAAACGATATTTTATTTGGAAGCGTGTCCATACCGGACTGGAGGGTCTGTAACATCAGATCTCCTTTGATAAAAATACCCGAATTATTTTAATTTTTCGTATATAGCGCAGTCAGTTTGTGGCAAAATCCTTTCGTGTCTGTGTTCACTACTATTTCAAAATCTGAATTGTGTTCATTTCACCAATAGGTTATTGTCAGTCAAGAATTGCCATGTGGTTGGCTGGACCAAGGTACAAGAATACGTACTTATAAGCTATCAGAATCAAAAGCCAATAAGATTTTTAATCGTCAAATGCAAGTTGAAAAGTCAAGAGTCTCAGATCAGATTCTCATTTTTATAAATCTCGATCGTCCACCGAATTCTTCTAAGATAACCCACATTCCATACGGAGAATATAAAGTGAAATACATTTGTGTGTTGGCTAAAAAAGATGATACCTTACTGAACGCTTTAAAAAATGACGGCCGTTTCAAAGAACCAGAAAAATGGACGCTTCATTCAACTAATACTGCGTCGGATGTTCCCCTAAGTTCAAAAGCAAAACATTGTGAGAACTACATTTTTGATGTTAAGTATAATGCCAGAAAAAAAAATTGTGGTGAAAGCCGTTCCGAATCAAAAACGTGCCCTCGTTCTAACATACAAATCAAGGCCGAGAAATTTGAAGAAGACGAGTTTATGGGGTATAGTGGTGACGAATATAGTGGTGACGAGTATAGTGGTGACGAGTCAAATGGCGGCAAGAGTGAAGACGCGAAATTTTATCAAGAAATTTTACAATTTGCAAAAGAGTATGCTTATACATGGCTTGAAAGAGAAAAACGTGGAAATCTGGCTGCTTTAATCGAAGAAAGCTTTTCCAAGCCAATTGACCAAACCAAGTCCGTTTGGCTAATGGAACGCCTCGTTTCAGCAAGCAAATCAGTTGGTCATATTTATACTGAAGGATGCCCTGGGGGGACGTGTTTTCTGATCAGAGAGGATGTGATATTAACGAATTATCACGTTTATGATCAGATTAAAAATTTCATTGCAAAACATAGAGACCCGTCCAAAGTGATTGTATCGTTTAACTATTTGTTCCCAAATCAAAGAGATGGATTGGAAGAGGTTGAAGTGGATATAGACCGTGTTTATGCCGAAAACAAAGAGAAAAGCCTGGATTACATTTTTCTCGGATTGAAGAATGCATCTGATCAGTCAACCTGCTCTCGGCGATGACATATCTGTAGATAATCCCGAAGGCTTTACCGGTCTTACTGTAACTGTCATTGGCCATCCCAACGAGTCAGAGAAAAAAATGGATACTGACTGCCGAATCATATCCCAGTGGCGTGATGAATTAATCGGCAGAGTTGCGACATTAAAACCTAATGAACTCCCTCCACTCCTCACATGCAAACCGGAAATTTCAAGTGATACCTACGAGCATAAGATTGCCTATGATTCAAGTTTCTTTCATGGTGCTAGTGGATCGCCTGTGTTTGATGATAAAGGAAAGGTGATCGCTATGCACACATGCGGCTGGATCGAGAAAGGAGCAAAAGAAGACGTATTCGTTATGGAATTTGCTGTTCATATGGCAGCAATATATAATGATTGTGTCAGAAATAGCGATGCTGCCAAGGACCTGTTTTCTAGCATTAAGATGGAAATTGGCTCGGACTGACCATGCAATTATAAATAGCTAGAGGCAAACATTCGAACCCATTTTGCGAGTAACAAAAACAAAGAAGGAAAAACTGTTTGTAACTTAGAACGGTTCAGAACTTGATTTTTATTCAGCAGATATTCATTTTGTTTTTGTATAGACAATTTGGCAAAATTTTATTATATGCTGTTCCTATATTCGAACACTTCATTAAACAAAATCGTAAAACCTAAAACTGTATATCGAGACCGGCTATTTTGTTGATAGGAATGCTTACATCTTAAATTTAATTTAATTAAAAGCCCTTTTTCATGAACAAAGAGCTGTTTTTTTTGTCAGTTTTACACCTAATCTTTTATTCACTTGTTTTGAATCTCTGGGAAAAGCCCTTTCAAAAAGTGTTTTAATTTCTTTATCACTCCTAAGCAAAACTGTCCGCCATTTTCTTTTGCTATTCGCCGTATATGAGCTGATAAATGATGGCTATCTTGACCAATCAGATTGCAAAATAGCTCAAATACAGTAAGAAGCTACATCAGTTATAATTGACATATTGATATGCTACACGCTTCATGTATCGAGTTTTCATTTTCGAAAATATCACGCAAAATATTACCACCATTCATAGTCCATATGCTCGTTATATTCTCCTGAACACCGTAGAATATACACCATATTTATGAAGTTTCAACCCGAAAATCTAATCCTTTGCATTTCTGCATTTTGCATTTCTGTATCGCTATCAAAGAAAAAAGGTTTTTAGGTTTTGTTTTGTTTTTGTTTTTTTTTTATTATGTGTGTTTTGGCGCGAAATGTGCTATATTTGAAAACTTAAATGCTCATTTGTACCCAGGACTTGACTGAGTACGACGCTCATTGAAGAGCGTATGTGACTGTATTTATCTACGTCAAACAGCCTCGTTCCCAGGCTCTTTAAATGAAATAAATATAAGAACATTACAGGCTTTTACATAGATCAGTACCCTTGCTGTCATTCACCATATATATAAACCTTTTGAATTGCAGAACTGGATAGCATGTGGTAGCATTATGCTGATAGTATCATAGTATGGGGTGTTTCATTACCGACAACGACATTCAATTTTGAAGAGGAGGTACTTCAAAATTGAAACATGCTAAAATATCTGTATGCTTGTCATTGCTTGTCGCCTTAGCTGGCCAATATGTATCGCGTAAAATATCTCGTGCTGTTAAAAGCACCGAAAGTAATAATGAAGTTGATTTAACAATTATAACAATCGCCCAGCAGTAAATAAGCAGCAGTAATCAAACCAATGAATTACAAAAATCATCGCAAATTTTCCTTCGTTAAAACAACAAAACAAAGCTCGCTACCTCGCATTTGGTGTATAATTTGTGACTTGCATGTAAATTAGCTACAACTGTAATTCTTGATATATTTCGAATCTTGTTTAGGGTTCACCCTGGGTTCACGCGCACCGCACGGCAAGCGCTTTTCCGCGTGTTACCATTTTTTCCACGTTTCACCCGTTTTTCCGCGTTTTTAGTGGTGTTATTATTTATGATCTCTATGTGTGAAATGGCTAGTTTAGGGCTTAAAATATCTATACAAAAGTTTGTTAATTCAGACGATTCGTCTTTACCGTGTGCAATTGTAAGCTTCAACTCTTATAGCAATCTACTTTAGAGGACAAAAAATAAAAAGGGCATTAAATTTTGCGAAATATTTCCGAATAGCGTTAATTTTTTAAAAAAATTTTGGTATTATAAAAACTGCGTTATTTGTTGATATACGAGCTGTACATGTTGTTGATCATTATTTATTAAGACATTTATGATTTAGTAATTCTAAGTTTTCACTGGGTATTTACATTCGCGCGGGTAAAATTTCACGGGGGTTTTAATTTCCAAACCACTATCCGTCCCGATAGCGCTTCCAGCTTACGTACAACCAACATATCGTATTAGATTTATAAGCCCCGTTAATTTGGCCATTTACACTACGCACGATTTGGGTTTCATATACAGATAAAATTGGTTTGTATACTTCATATAATACTCGCCTCGATTATATGTCGTCTCGTATTAATTCGCACAGTCAGTTTAGGTTTGGTACAGATGAAATTTGGACCATCAATTCAGGTAGACTATAAATTTCAATTTTATAGGATAAACGGATAAAATTGATACGGTTGAAATTTAACTATTTGGTATGCAGTTTCAGATTTTCATTAAAATTTCATCCGTACAATTTTTTCGGTACTGTACCAAAATTTGTGCGTAATGGGGCTTTACACAATTCTTGCAAGCATGCAAAGGTGAGTGCAAACTGCAAAGTCATGAGTTTGGGTTTTGAGTAGGGGTAGTAAGTCGAGGGTCGAGAGTGAGGTCGAGGGTAAAGTCGAGGGTAAAGTCGAGGGTCGATTTTTATCGCATTTTACAATCGGCAAAGTCGAGGGTGAAGTCGAGGGTCAATTTTTATCGCATTTTGCAATCGGCAATGTCGAGGGTATATTTTCCGCCCTGTTGTCCGAAACTATTATAAGTGAATTGACAGTTGCATGTGAATAACGCATGCAGGCAGCTCACCGCTTCTGCAAACAGTTGCATGTTACACTGGAAAGAGTAAAATAGCCATAGGAAGAATATGGTATATTTGTTATTTTCGCATTGCTATTTACGCGTTACGGCTTGTGATGCTTGTTTTTCAAACTGAAATGCAGGCATAGTACAATATGTACAATACAACATAATTTTTTTATAACAATATTCTTGTACGTTTGCATAGTGATATAAAATTAGCTTGTAGATATACCACGTAAATATTTTATACTGCAAAGATAATTAAAACTTAAAGCTTAAAAAGCTTAAAAGCAAAGCTTAAAACTCTCTCTTAATACGTCTAGAAGAACATACGACGAACTGCGAGAAGGTAAACTGGATAAGTCTGCTGTAGCTCGCCATGCTTTGCAATTTACTTATTAGTAATGAATCTATTTAATAACGAACTTTTGTAAAAGAAGTTTTGGTCGAGGGTCGAAATACGTCGTTAGTCAAAATCTAGTCATAATCTTGAAAACCTAGAAACTTGATACAATTTGAATGTCACACTGATTGAGGATTTCCCTTTGCCCTGCATCTAGTGCCGTTAGAAATTGTGGCAACGCCGCTAAAAACTGGATTTTTCCTTACTATATGTAATGAAGACAAATGATAATACGTGTTACTATAGTCCTGACAATAATTTAACTGCCCCGTTTGCTCGCATTTTCGAATGACTCTCCGGTCAACATGCTTTACCACAACATTGAAAGGCGAATTTCTGTATTTGACGGTGAAGTCACTCCCACAACCTTAGTGTCTGATTAGCACAGTGAGTCTATTTACATCTTCAGATCGATGCTTTAACGAGTCAAATTTATGTTATACAACCATACCTTGGTTAATGACAATGCCATTCGAAGGGCGACTTCTTCGTCCTCGTGCTGAAATGCTCTTAGCCAGTTTGGATGCCGGCTACTATTTGAATTTTCTGTCTTAATCTCGTTTTTACTACAACGCCCGGACACAATTTCGCTATACAATTTCTTCGGCATATTTATCTTTAGTCCAACAAAGATTCGAGTAGAAATATTCGCTAGCGGATAGAAAGCTGTATTTACCAAGCCAAGAGTTCAGTAAAGTGAAAACCGACACCACATGGCACATCGTCTCACCACTATGTCGGCAATTCGAGGTGACAACTCGGATATTATTAAGACACAGGAATCAAAAAACAAAAAAGTGAGACCGCAAGATGGGAAGATGTTCATGCAAGAGAATTAATTAATAAGTTTAACCCGTTTTGGAAGTCTGACTTGTAAAATATAATGCCCAAAGATTCATAAATTGCAACTGCAATCTGTATGTATACTTATACATATAATTTGTATAGCTTGCGCTGTATCGCATATTGCGTAGAAGAAAATATTAGCAATAATAATATTAATAATATAATATTAATATTATTAACAATACAATATTAGTATAGGCAAATTGTGAATTTCTACAATTGACCCTCGACTTCACCCTCGACATTGCCGATTGTAAAATGCGATAAAAATCGACCCTCGACTTTACCCTCGACCTCACTCTCGACCCTCGACTTACTACCCTCGACCCTCGACCCTCGACCAAAACCCAAACTCCGAAGTCATGACATCCCTGCTGTGTCACTGAATGATATAGGGGTGAGAATTATTACTATTCATAGTGGAAAATTATATAACCTCTTAAGCTGAATTTTATTTTTAGCAAAACGATTGTAAAACTCATACACATGCAGTCACAGAACAGGTTATACAAGAATATATTGCTGTTAAAATATCCAACAGCTAGAGATTTAGTTTATTTAATGCTTAATTTTTTATCATGTTTCATCACATTTCGCCTCGCTAAGTAATAAACCCTTACTGGCTTCATGAGCCTTCATCCGCCCACACAATAAATGCGTCTTTCTCATTGCGTTGTAATGTAAGTGTGTGAATGTGACTATACATTTTATAAAGTGTTGTATTTCAATTAACATGTCTGAAGATGTCAGTTGAAAATTTACAATTTCAATTTGCTTTTTCCTCTACTCTTTATTTGCCTTTATGCCTGGTTTATACGTTCAAAGTTATAAGCCTAGTTAATCATATGTCACCGCCAGTCGGTAATATATGTCGTTAGTGGCAGGTGCAAAGGAAATTTCTTCAAAATAACAAAGCACTTCACTCGTCATCAGTGACCTACAATGACCATCGCAGATCGGTGGCATGCACATGGAAACTGGGCCTTATACTGTTGCTCTATCACTAAGAAGGAATACTTTTAACATATAACTGCACATGATACATGGTCGGGAAGTTCAATTGAATCAATTATCAAACCAGATTCTATTTTAACTATTTTAAATTTTAGACACCTCAAGAAATTCACATTAAATTGTTAGGAAACCTAAATTTGTCATCAATTTTGCTACGTTACTTTTTAGTTTTACTGCCGATTTCAACGTTTCCTTTCGTTCATACGAGTATAACTTAAAGCAACCTTTAAAGAACGCACTTCGCCGGCACCACGCGATGAAATGGTATTTTTCTGGTGAATTCCAGCGCGGAGGAGGGGGTGCCGGAAAAATTCATCAGACTAACGACGTCTCTTTTTTCCTGAACGCCTCCGCGTCAGGGCTCCCCGTCGGGAAAAAATCTCATCGAAACTCGTGTGATTGCAACAATTTTGGAAATTTAATGTGCCATATGATATCCACCAGCAATTGACTTGGCGATCCTGTAGAGCACAAAATGGAATATTTCCCTACGAATAGGCAACTTGCATGTTAGCGAAGCATCATGGGAAAAGTGGTAACCTTCACTTGCGCGCGAAATGGCCGTCGAGGAGCGAGCATTTGGCGTGTGAGAAATATCGCTTATTTTTAACACTTTTTTCATAGCGTTTGAAAGTTTTAAAACTAGGGATATCTTTGCGATGCTATAAAGTTTGTTTTGGCATAAGTACAGCGAAATCGAACCAAAATTGGATAAGAAAACTACTGTAGAAGTACCGCGGAAGGGACGATGTGGTCATAAATACATTCCGAGAGGAAGATTCTTCCGAACATTTCAAGGTGAGTACGCTTAGTGAACATCGGATCACTCGTCATTTTGACCTACAAATATGTGCGTTTTGTTTCTCGATGTGTATTTTGTATTTTGACAACGATCGAGTGTTTTCTCGGTATTTTTTCGCTTGTTGAAATCCACTAAACTCGTTGCAAAATGTCTGCCGATCGTTCGATCAGCATGGCGCTCAAACACGATGTTTTTAAAGGACCTTGAAACGTTTTGGCGCGAACTAAAAGCAGTTCAAACCGGTTTTTTCTGCCCTGACTCCGTTAAATCGTAAAAACGCCAAAGATAAAACATTTTGCCTCTGTTGTCGTCGATTTTTTTGCTTCCTTTGTTGTGGTCGGTTTATTTCCTGTTAAAATAAACAAGTAGGTTTTTATTTAAACAATAGGCTGTAAATAGTTAATATAAAGCACTTTTAAACGAGGTTTTAAATTTGCATAGTTAGTAGAATATAATATAGTCAATTTTTAAAATTTAGTTGTATTAATTTTAGGTTTTTAATAATCCTCAGGCAGGCCCTGAGGATTAAATTTGTATATAGTAAAATAATAATTCTAAGTATAAATTTAAATAATATAAATTTTTATGGATATTGAGCCGAGTACTTCATTGGGGGCAGATAAATGTGACACAGAAGCTACATGTCCAGAAAGAAAATATAAAGGAGGTGGAACAACTTGTTGTATTCCAACATGTGGCAGCAACACTAAAAGAAATCCTGAACTCTCATTTTACCACATTCCAACTGATAAGAAGGTGAGAAAAATGTGGCTGCATTGGATTGGTCGAGCTGATTTTAAACCAAACAACCACCATAGAGTTTGTTCAAAGCATTTTGTCGGTGGCAAGAAGACATGTCTTCACAATGTTCCAACGATTGTGCAAAAACTATTAATGCCTACTCAACCAAAACCCAGAACAACTTCTAAATGCAGAAATAGAATAATTGAAGAGAGTAATGAGATAGAGGATAAGCCAACAACTAATGAGGAGAAAATTTCAGATCTTGAACAACTGGTTGAAGACCTTCAGCAGAAATCCCAAAAACAACAACAAGAGATATCCATTCTAAAGGGAAAAGTGGAACAGTGCAGTTTCTCTATAAACTATATTAAAAATAATGATAGCAATATTGAGTTTTATACAGGCTTTTCCAATTATGATACATTTAAGGCATTTTATGACTATCTTAGCCCTGCATGTGAAAGGTTACAATATATTGGATCTTGGAATACTACAAAGCCACCAGAAAACCGAGAAAAATGTGGACCAAGCAGGACATTGTCACCAGAGGAAGAGTTATTCTTGTGCCTTGTGAGATTTAGATTGGGTTTGCTCGAGAAGGACTTGGCGAACAGGTTTAACATATCCCCATCCCAAGTATCAAGAATTTGGGTTACCTGGCTTGATTTTTTATACCGACGTTTACGGTCCATTCCAATTTGGCCTTCTCAAAGTTATGTAAGAGAAACCTCACCACCGAGTTTCAGGGAGAGTTATCCATACACAAGGGTCATAATTGACTGCACAGAGTTATTTATTGATACACCTTCTCAACCAAGAAGCCAAAGTGCAACCTTTTCAACATACAAACACCACAACACTGGCAAAGGCTTAATTGGCATTGCACCAAGAGGAGACTTGATATTTGTTTCAGAACTCTATGCTGGTAATACGTCTGACAAACAATTGACAAATGATTGTGGAATCTTAAAATTATTAGAATCAGGTGATGAAGTGATGGCAGATAGAGGCTTTGAAATTGAGAATGATCTACCACCAGGTGTGTCCTTGAATATTCCACCTTTTCTTGGTGAGCAAGTACAGCTTTCAAAACAAGATGAGATTAAAACAAGGAGAATTGCTAAGCACAGAATACATGTTGAAAGGGCTATTCAAAGAATTAAAAGCTTTCGCATTCTCCAACATCACTTGCCAATTTCTATGGCTTCAGACTTGAACAAAATCTGGGTCATATGTTCATATTTAACTCTGTTTTTCAGGCCATTAATTCAACTGCATGAAGAATGAATTCTATGTTATATGACAGTCTCTAGACTGTTCAGTGTTTTTTCTAATTATTCAACTTAATTAAGTATATACAGATACTATTGTGTCTACTAGTTAAAGTATGTTCAGTGAACATATTGCAATTACACAGTAACAGTATCTGGCAACAGATAATTAAAATAAAAAGTTGTTAGTTCAGGTAAAGTATGGTTTTCCCATTGAACTCTACTAAAATAAATTCTTTCGACATGAAGATCACTCACAGTATACACAACAAAGTCTACAAAAAACAACTGGCAAATAGCCATAATGCCTTGCACTTGATGATAATAAATATGACTCTTCTTCAGGCATGGCTTTCCATTAACTACCTCCAAACAAAATGATTTGTCACTGCATGCATTGATGATACTCATCCCAGATTTAGATGCAGGGCATTTCACCTCCACAGCCCCATACATGGACTCCTCACTTTCATCCAACACAAGTGCATCCGGACTAGCACCAAGCCATGGCCACATTGGGTTGACCACTAAACCACAGGCAGAGCAAAGAGCCACATGCTTGTTGGTCTCATCTTTATATTCATGGTATTTTAGCAATGCTTTCTTTTCATTCTCAATTCCCCACTGACAACTTGCATTCTTTATTTGACTTGGCTTAGTGATCTTGTTCACAATAGTCTTTGGATAGATTGTTTTTCTCCTCTTAACTACACTACCAAATAATGATGAAGTTAACCGACATTTTCTCTGGTTATACCACTCTTCACATTCATTTTGCTTCCTTGTGTTCTTCTCAATCTCTTGGCACCTCTCATTATCAACAAACAATTTCTCCATAATATATTTTTCACAACCTTTGTCTGGAACATAAGTACAATCTAAATTCTGAGTTAATTTTTGTAGAATACTGGTTCTGATAGATGTTTGGTCCAGTTTGTCACCCACTTCCCCTGCCTTTATTATGCGCTGTCTAGATGGCAATTCATTTGCAGTAAATTCACAAGGTTCACAATTAGTATTGCCTAGGACACCAACCAAATGACAAGTACTTCCTGCATTTTCCAAGCTAGTTTTAAGCCTCTCCAAATCCTCCTTTGAAACCTTCTCTCTTGTTGAACAGTAGTCCTCCCTCTTCCCTTCTGGCACTGGGCGTTTACGTCCTTTTCTGTCCTTATCATACGAATCCTGGGGGAAAATCAGGTCCTCAAAGAGCAGGGCTTCTTGTGTAGTGTTCTTTCTAGGGATATGCCATTTTTGTAACTCCTGAGTGCAAGTTTTATCATCTGGTACATCTGAGAGTCCAAGTTCTATGTAATCAATAAGCTGATACAATGTAGCTGCCACATGTTTGCAACAGCCACCAGCACCAGCAGGGCAACAGCATTTTGCATAGGCAACATCTCCTGAATGTTGATGAAGGTGGACATAAACAAGGTACTGCTTTTTCTTCATTTCTGCATTTACATGGCAACGCACAAGAAAATGGATATCATCTCCTTTCTTTATATTAGGTTTCACCATAAAGTGCCTTATATAACCAGCTTTAAATAGTTTGTAACCACTTTTCTTGTGTTTAAATGCCTCAGCAGGTTTGCCATCAGGTGTTTTTTTTGCTTCTAGTACTAAATGGTCTTCCAAATTTTTGTATGAGAATCCAGGAATAAACTTTAAGCTCTTTGTCCAACCATCTGCCAATGCTGCCAAATCTTTATCTGCCCCCAATGAAGTACTCGGCTCAATATCCATAAAAATTTATATTATTTAAATTTATACTTAGAATTATTATTTTACTATATACAAATTTAATCCTCAGGGCCTGCCTGAGGATTATTAAAAACCTAAAATTAATACAACTAAATTTTAAAAATTGACTATATTATATTCTACTAACTATGCAAATTTAAAACCTCGTTTAAAAGTGCTTTATATTAACTATTTACAGCCTATTGTTTAAATAAAAACCTACTTGTTTATTTTAACAGGAAATAAACCGACCACAACAAAGGAAGCAAAAAAATCGACGACAACAGAGGCAAAATGTTTTATCTTTGGCGTTTTTACGATTTAACGGAGTCAGGGCAGAAAAAACCGGTTTGAACTGCTTTTAGTTCGCGCCAAAACGTTTCAAGGTCCTTTAAAAACATCGTGTTTGAGCGCCATGCTGATCGAACGATCGGCAGACATTTTGCAACGAGTTTAGTGGATTTCAACAAGCGAAAAAATACCGAGAAAACACTCGATCGTTGTCAAAATACAAAATACACATCGAGAAACAAAACGCACATATTTGTAGGTCAAAATGACGAGTGATCCGATGTTCACTAAGCGTACTCACCTTGAAATGTTCGGAAGAATCTTCCTCTCGGAATGTATTTATGACCACATCGTCCCTTCCGCGGTACTTCTACAGTAGTTTTCTTATCCAATTTTGGTTCGATTTCGCTGTACTTATGCCAAAACAAACTTTATAGCATCGCAAAGATATCCCTAGTTTTAAAACTTTCAAACGCTATGAAAAAAGTGTTAAAAATAAGCGATATTTCTCACACGCCAAATGCTCGCTCCTCGACGGCCATTTCGCGCGCAAGTGAAGGTTACCACTTTTCCCATGATGCTTCGCTAACATGCAAGTTGCCTATTAGATTGACCGGAAAACTTTCCCGCAACGAAGCTGGGAAAAGCGATGGCGCGGCGACTGTGCCCCAACCCCAAAATGGAATGCCATCGTCACATATAGTACCTTCGTCAGCTAGTGAAGTTTACAGATTCGACATTTTGGCTTTTGCCATGCGAAAATTGCTTTTGATTATTGTCATACGCCTACAGTTCTACAATATCACTCAGTAATTTTAATAGATATTTTTAATGCTAATAAGTATCACCCATTTTACACTTTGCAAATAGTTTACATGTGCCAACGTCTAAAAGATTCTTTATATACCATTGAATATGTTGTGAAAGACTCCTTTTCATTGCGCGATCTTGCATGGGCAGTCTAACCAGTCTTTGACTGCTTAACGCAATACAACGGTAGTCTCTGAAGACGATGTAGTTACAACGAAAAGTTGAAACAGACATTTAAATTAGGCAAAACCTTTTTTTACATAATCTATTCATGATTTCCGATCGGGATTAATAATACCCTTTACCATTGGGCACTAGTCTCACCAGTTTGCGCGATCATACTATATCTGTATATTGCCGTGTGTTGTTATTGTACTGTTTTTGCGACTTTAAGTATGCATGTGATGTAACAAATGTGGCTTTTATACAACGAGACGTTTAGTATATAAACAATAAAAGTCAACACGATGTTTATCCTCAAATATAGCATTGGCTATGAATTCCATAGCTAAATATTTTTTCCGCCTCAAGGAATATGATGAATGAATCTAATACCAGGAAGCAAGATGGAGACGAGTCTTTTGATCTTACGGAATGGCTTACAAACGAAGTAAAGCTGCCGCAATACCGCGACGTGTTACTCGAAAACGGCTTTGAATTACCTCTAGAGTGTTCAAGCATTGATGAAACGGTGCTGGATAAGCTAGGGGTCGTGAAAATCGGACACCGAAAGCGACTGCTTGTTTCGTGTCAGAAACTTGCAGATAAGTGGGGCCTATCATCACAAGATCTCGCGAAGCCAGAGAAGAACTCAGACGCGTCAAGTAAAGCAGGAGAACAGCGCGCTAATTTTAATGTTGACGTTCAATCTCCTGCCAATTTAGAACTTCCTCCATCATTGCCTCCGAAAAAGGTTAAAAAACCAAGGCCATATCCACCACCGAGAAATATGGCCGAACAGGAAGTAAATAACGACAACGCCATAATAGACGTCGAAGGTAATTCGAATGTATCTGGAGATGGTCACGATGAATTGAGGTTCGGTGTGTCCAAGCCCACAACTGCTGACTCGCAAATTAAGGAGGTAAAGCCTATTGAGAGCACTAGTAATGGTGGGAGTACAGTACATGAAAGAACAAATATTGAAACTCTCCCGCCAATCCTTTCACCTGACAATCTAGAGGCTTATGAACCTATTTGGGAGGCAAGTGAAGGGGAACCCCAGCCTAAAAGCCCACCCATCAGTGAGACACATAAAAGTGACCACATAGATGCATTTGATAATAATGCAAACTTGGATATACCCTCCACTGATAAGGTCAATATTAATAATGAGGAGGAAAGTAGCCAGCATAACCAAATGCTTGAACAGCCAAATTGCAGTGGTGGAGGTTCATCTGGGCCCCCTCCAATCCCACCTCGTTCTGATCTTAGTGATGACATAAGTCAAGAAACAAAAAAATCAGGCTCAGCCATAACTGATAAAGTAGCAACAGCACCAACTACTGTTTGTGAGAGTGAATCATTAGGCACCATAACCACTCAGCCACCGAAAAAGAAAACACCACCTGCAAAACCACCACGTCGCAATGTTAAACCTATGTCAATGTTTGTTGCACCGAACGAACAGCCTCAATTTGTTCCTGAGCCACGGAGAAGCATAGGCAGTATGGAGCAGACTATAAAAACAAAGAGCGATGTCATTTATGAGAATCAGATCACCCCAAATCCCATTTCAGAGAGTGCAGAAAGGCCTCAAACAGCAGATGAGAAGAGATCAGTTTTTAATCGTGTACCAACTGCTGAGGTCCAAACTGATGCCAATTTATATGACAATGCAGAAAGTTTCAAGAAAGCACCTGTGAAGCATACCGTGTCTGGGCCTGAATTTTTAGGACCTGAGAAGAGTAAAAAACCAAAGCCAGTGCCAAGAAGTAGGACTTTGTCAGATAAGAAACGCAAACCTAGTATACCAGAACAGGATTATGTCTATGATGTTGTTGCAGGTAAAGCATAGATAATTAAATGTACCATGGCATACAATAAATAAGCAATCACGAATTAACCAACCTTGTTTTAATTACATTCCTTCCCTGTTAGCATGTTTGTGAATCACCTAGCAATTGTAGGCTCTTTGAATATGTTAATGAGAGGGTTTTGCCTTGTTTTGTGGTTAAAGTTGTCAAAAAGGACTAAAACATTTTTACCTGAGAAACATTGTTCTGGTGATGTCTGTATGATTAGAAAAATAACAGAAAAAAGATTTTCACTTTTGACATTTCAGCAAAGATTTTTGACTTGTTGATGAAGTTCCCACAGATGCTGGGCTGCTGTTGTTAATTTTCATGTTTGAATAGCTTTTTTCTGATTTTCTCAACAATTGGAATCAAAGTACATTCTGGGGCTATTTTGAGTTCTGTCCCATCTTCCCTAGAAGGCTCTGCTTATTGCAAAAAAGAACAAAATTCTCTCACAAATAATCCCATTGAACAATTTCATTGCATTTTGATACATATCACATCTTTGTTAAAATTCTAATAATCCAAATTTTGCATAACCTACATGTTTTTGCCTGTAAAATGTATACTTTGTTTGACTGAGGCTTTAAATAATTCAGTTATGAATATAGTTTTTAAATGTGTAGTAGACATTTTCTATTCCATGATGTATTCTTAAATCTGTGTAGACCCTGGTAACGATGGAGGTAGCTGCACTGAGGATGATTTGTCAGGAAGCGACAGAGAAGAAATGCCGGAGAGAAAAATATCTGTTTCATCTACTTATGAAGAAGTTGATAAAGCTTCAATAATGCAAAATAATGAATACGAGACACCTGGAGTTTCATCACAATACGAAGTATGTTTACAATGTTTTCTATGTTAATGTAATGGGTTGAAATAACTGGCCAGTTTAATAGAGCCAGTTGTACAAATTCTTTTTGAGCTGGTATGAATGGTTCAATTTAATTGCCAACAATTAATAGATTGGCAATTGTGTGCACAAATCAAATACAGAGTAATTGATATTATAATAATGAATGTTTATAATGAGTGCAATGGTGAGAATATTTTCATGAAGCAAAAGAAGGTCCATTCTACAAGGCAAAGCTGAGTTGAACATATTTCATAATTCACTAAATGAAAATATTCTTTTCCTTTGAAAATGAAAATATTCTTTTCCTTTTATTTAACACAAAAAAAAACACCACAATAGATCTAATAATAAATGTTATTGAATTATTTATATGAAAATTACCATGTTGGTTTATAAATGATAATCCCATCGGCCATGTTATTCGGATTCATATTCGGATTCATGATCGGATGCGTGCACGATACGATGATACTGTGCGTGATTGAATTTAGTGCAATTAAACCTGGGATTTCGCTAATCAAATCTCGACGCAAAACCTGCATAAATTATAATCAGAGATTGGTTGTGTGAAGGCTACAGAACGCCAGATTGGGACTTTCTCAACTATTGCAAAAATGCTCAAAACGATAATACGACTACAGGGTGTCTCACAAAAGACGAAGCGAAAAAAAAATTCTTATACTTATTATGAAAGGCCAGGGCAATTATACACAAAAAAATGATCGAATGTATAGGTGAATAAAAAGGAGCAAATTTGAATTTATTATGAAGTTGATTCGTGTATTCGCCAAACAACTAGTGATTTTCGACCGGCATTTTAACACACGATAATTTAGAAATTTCTAGCCTTTATATATACCACATGTATTAGAGCATGTTGAAAGTTCCATGTTGAGACACCTTGTACAATATAATGTACCAACAATTGATAATGAGGGACATTACTTTAAGCTGATATAAGGTGTAATCGTGCATTTTTCGTGCAAAGTGTCGACTATAGAGGCTAGAGCATTTTCCAAGCCAGATTTGGATTATTTAGATACTCTCATCTCTTGCAGACCGTCAAGCTACCTAGACCTATGAGTGTTATCCAGGTGAGTATGCCTTGGTGAAAAGGACATATATTCATCAACAGTTGTTATTTACCATTTCCGAATCGAACGATGTACTGGGTCTAAACTGAAACCACTTGACATATTTGAGAGAGAAAGGCAGCTCTCCCCCTGTTCGCGGGTCTATGGGCTAGATTCAACCCGGTCTAACATAACTATACAGAGTGCAAGGTTTCCATACTCTAGGAAAATTTCCGCTATATTGAAAGAGCTCGTTTGTTAATTGCATCAAGTTTAAAAAGAATGCATAATTGATGGCACAATTATGCATTTTTTTTAAAAGTTCTATTGTTTCTCTATTCTGACCAATCCCATTTCCGTATCGGACGAAAGCCATATGCAAGTAAATTAGAAAATAGAGCCCAAACGCAGTTTTCGTTGGAAGTCTAAGTACACTATTTATGATTAAATATATAATATTCAATGCAACGATTTTTCTCTTATCCCTGTAGGCTCGCCATTCAACGAAGGAGGGGTATTTATTCAAGCAAGGGGGGTAAGCCATGGCGTTTTTCATATGCTATAATCGTTTCTCAAGCCGTGTTCAACAAGGAGGAATCCAATAAGACTGCATAAATATTGACTATTTCATATAAATTCAATGGCTTAGCCTGAAAAATATAAACAAATTTACCGACTAGTTTCCAGGTGATCTGGACTGGAACTAATTGTCAAATAGTTGTCAGAGCTATAGTTCTCGTAATTAAACATAATTATAAAATTTTGACAAGTTTCATAATGAAAAACGAAAGGTATAATCGGTTAAATACCGAGAAATGCATTTCTATTGGGACAACCCTTTCTGAGCGCTGATTGGCTAAAATAAAAGCGCGAGATAGCCTGGCCTTATAACGAAACTCCTCCTTGTTGCTGTGCTTATAGTTAAAATTTTGCAAAACTTGCATGCGAGGCAAGTCAGGAGCATGTCCTTAGCGAATAACTCATTTATGCATCTTAACCCTCTCTCCCCTCCTTCCCCTCTGTTCGGGACATTTCGGGTCCTTCTCCTCATTCCTATTGCTGACATTATTTACTCATCGTTCTGACTTTCTGATATTTTAGCTTCCCCAAATTGTTTTTTATGTATAAGATACGATAATAATGGTGAGGACTTAGGTTAAGATTAAGCAGCCAATGTATGTCTTTTTGTCTTTTATGAAGGCAACAAAACAACAAGGGCTGGAAAAAAAGATGGGTGGTGTTCGATGGAAACGAACTTCGTTATTATAAGGACAAGGTATGTGAGTCGACAAATCTCGTCTATAAGGAGTCCATATGCCGGATGTGGTTATATAACAAATATGTAACATTTAGCCGTTAGTTTTCAATAATAACAATCAATAATAATAAACTATTCCATATTAACAGGGATAACGTCAGTATGCACGATAAAAAGAAAAATATTGTTCAAACTACAGAAGACAATACAAAATGCGTCATTTCGTATAATATTAACATATGCTGACGTGATTCCTTAGGTCACGGCAATTGACCAATCATAATGCGTAAACTACATTCTGATTTTTTCGTACAGGATCATACCCACGAAACACTACAAAGAGTAGGCGTGGCAATAATGAAGGAAGTACGGATTGTTACAGAAGACGTGAGTATGATCCCTATAGAGTTTGTACAAGGCACGGCTTAAATTAAGAGCTTGCATGCTATATTTTAGAGAGAACATATATTTTAGTCGATTAAATGTTTTTTGTCATGCATGCTAGTTAGTGAAAGTGAAAAGCAAAAGCAAACAATTTGGTATAAATTAGCATGGGGGCTGTTTTACTAGATTAGACGGCGTTTTGCCGCATTTTGGGGAGCTACGGCTATTTCAACAAAATTTGCCCAGGTGCAAATTCTGCCCACTATATGTGGGCCTTCAGCCTTCCCCTGACCCTCGCCTCTCGCGCAATATTAGCAATTGTAAATTGTTGATATTTGTAATAATTTGTAATAAGCTGATATTTAATCACTTGAAACCTTGTACTAAACTTTGGGCAGTCCAAGAAAGTTTTAAAATAGTTCTCGTTTACGTCCTAAGCAAAGATGAATAATGTTTTTATCATCATTTAACACCTCGACCGTCGATATACTTGGCTTCGACACGGCTTCAACTTTATCACGTGTGGCGCACGTGGAGACGTGATTTTTAGACCATTGATTGTGTCTCTTCTTGGTTACTATCGGATATAATTAAAGATTCCAATAACTTGTTTTTCACTCAAATAACTCGCTTGTAAAATAATGTGCCATGAAAAGATTTTTTATATATTTTTTGTAAGGCCACCCTAATGCTATACACCTAAATCGATCTGCAAAGCCTGATAAAAATATCTAGGAATTTCGGACAAAATGCCTTTACAGGAATTTTTTATGCATTCTCACAAAGAAACGTTTGTCCATTTATCAATATAAGCAACGTATAATTATTAATATAATTAATTCGTTTTGATGCACAGGAAATTTGTATATTTTGGAATCTTTTTGTCGAAAGAAAGACACATTCTTACATTGTGTATCTGCATTATTTCATGTACTAATCATAGATTGATTTATTTTTGCAGACGAAACGTTCCAGGTTTGATCTTGCCTGTGCTGGAAGAACTTACATGTTTGCGTTAGGAATAGAAGAAATGGGTGGGTGATTGTTTTGTATTGTTTTACTGTTAGATGGCATGTGATTAAGCTCTATAACTGGAGAATAGTAACGTACCGAAGCAATAATCATGGATTTAGAAGAAACTTTTTGCCATTTTTCCACATAAACGTATATACAAGCCAAAAGGGATTATACGTTTACGGATAGTTTTATACGTTTACAGATAGATATGAAATTTAGGCATAAAATGTTAGTGTATCTTCATTATATTCATGTTCGTATAACCGTTGAAACAATAGCAAACAAAAGAAATTAGTCGGGCATAATATCATTAAGATGAATATATGAATATGCAGCCCCCCCAGAATAAGCTTCTTTTTGTATCAGCGAGCTCACTGATTTGTATACGCTGTCCACCATCTTGGATACAGAACGGGGTGGAATCTGATATTGATATTTTTCAACAGATCTCTTTAGCTCGTATATAAATTAACATTTCAAATCACTTGTTCGAAGTATAGTTAACCGCATTTCATGATTATGGGGTTTAAAGTTGGTTCATTTACATGGAATCTTATATAAGGGGGATCTATATTCCGACTCCATTTTGACAACAACATACAGGCAATGTAGAATCTTTCAACTGAGATTTCCAATAATGATGTTAAAATAACATAATATTTCGGTTCACTTAAGCCATGCTCATCATGAAAGTTTACTCGAATGAGCTCAAACAAATAAGTTAAACTTAATATGAGTAACATTAAGTTGGTTGTTATGATAACTACGGCATATTTTTATATAGTTTTTATTAGACTGGTAAGTCTTGGGAGAGATCGTATTTTGGTGTAGTCGATACACGAGATGCAATGAACATCTCTTATTGAATAGTTCTGCAACTTTAGGAGATTTTTATTCTCTCAAACATTGGATAGGAAAAAACCATCCTCTGAAAATTTAGTAAACTTCTGCAAAATATGTATATTATCACTTTGACTTTTAATTATAATTGAGAGAGAAAATTGAAAGCGTAACTGCATGTCACATGCCACGTTTTGAGGAGAAAGAGCCTCTATTCCTTTTATAACTGTCATTGTTATAAAATCGAAAGTTTAAACAAGGAAGTTCGACACTCAAACGGCGTCAATATTTCTGTCTTGATATCTCTAGATGCGATTCAAGTATGGGCGCAGATCCTAATGAGTGCCATTATTCAGGTCCGGGTAAGTGGCTTAAAATATTACTATCCGTGCTGTGTATGCGAATGGATATCCTTGGCAGGGTGTCCTGGCATGTATATTCAATATAGCCTACTTTTCCAGCAACTATATATACATATATAATAATGTTTTATCTCCTGTGCGTTTTATCGCTGTTCAAATGACAAAGAAAGAGATATAAACTCCGGTTTGTCAGAGGCAAATCACTTTCTCAGATCCGAAAGTCCAATTTTTTGTTCAAACGTCTTTAATCACTTGTGTCTCAGTTACATTATGCCAATCTATGACTTCGGTGTGCAAAAATCTTGTTTCTTTTCTTTTTTTTTTAAATATAAATTCTGGTCGAGAAAAAACCATGGTAACAGTAATATTTCCACAGCGATTTCTCGGCCAAATTGAAATATTTGATCCTGGAAACTAGATTGGCTGCCAACTTAGGCTACAACTCGAAATTCGCAACTTCCTTGAAACTTCCTTAAATGAATGCCCCATGTATGTATCCAAAATATCAGACATAACAACACGATAATAAAACAACTAAGCTGAAAACGTGGTTTCAATTGGCAGCCATTTGATGGGGATTTATTATTTACACAAAGGATTTTACCTTTCAATGATCACAGACAATGTGTCTTGCTTACGCAATATAGAAGCAAGGAACTAGGAAGTGACCAAAAAAGTGACATAGCATTTGTAATGACCGTTTATGCTTGCATATGTTTGTACAGAAAGAAGATGAGACCAATGTATCTCAAAATCCTGGAGGTGATATGTTTGAACCGGATAAGAAGGTAAAAGCGTGCAAAAGACACTGAAAATCCATACTATAGATATATATTTCTATTTATTTAGAATATATGCTATTTATATACACCATGTTGTTTCCATGCATGTAGCTACTATATCCATCCAAAGTAAAGAAATGGCGTTTAGTATGGATATCATAAATCCCCATACTATTTCCAAGTATCATCCATCCAATTTCCATAATATTGATTTTGAAAAAAATTCTAGGGAGTTATGCAGGGAAATACCGCAATTGAACTAGGTTTCGTTAATTTATTCAGGAAGCTCGCTTCGGAAAGGATAAAAAAGTCGCTACTGAGACGAGAATATTTTAAAAAATGTCGAATAAAATTTCTGACGAGGCGTCTTTATTGACACATGGCAAACTAGAAGATACGTGCATGCATGAAGTACCCTTCAACTCAGCATTGCTAAATTCAGGGCAACAAAATATTGTTCGGAAAAGAAATTAGACCGAAAGATTATTATAATGCATGCATAACAATGTTTTAAGTGCTTTTACTAGAACCGTTCTTTTTAATTATGCCGAACCCAATGTTTCGGTTCATTTGCATTCGATTCGGCACATGAAAAGTTCGACATCTGATACGGGCCTTATATACTGATATTATTAGTTTTCCGGCTTTAAATTTGGGTTTGGATGATTCTTTAAAAAAAATTGAAAGAAATTTTAAAAATGAGATCGCTATTCACGATTATATGTTCAAACTGTTTTAAAAGAACTCCAACTGGCATGCTTTCTCATTAAACTTGTATACCTCTTTTCGCATTGTGATTTGTGATACGTTACATAGTCAAGTAATTCCTATTGACTTCGCATGGTACATTATACGAACGTTTTGTACGATTTATCGAAAAACTGTGCTGGAACAAACCTGTACTCCTCTGCGATTCGTTAGCAATGCTTATATTTACCACTGAACTACGGTGGAAGCTACCTTTGAAAGAGGTAAAAGAATTAAAACGCAAATATTTCCGTCAATAGCGATGTTCAAGTTCGGCTTCCACCGCTACCCTTCGTTGATTGGTTTAGAGCGTAGACATCACGCATCTGATTGGTTAATATGTCCTTCAATGTAGCGGAATTGGAAATTAAGTTTCAAATTTGCAAATTATGTGATAGAGTTTTTGGTAGACGAAATGATAATTGAACTTAAAGGCCTCTCGCAGTATCATGCATGACTTGAAACATCGGCTTCCGTATAGTTGGTTAGTTCCTGCATGTGATATGTGCCACAGTAAAAAATAGCAACACCAGCCGTCAATTTTAATTGTCTAATCTAATAAAGGTGTTCAATGACATAATTCGTCGTAATTCGGTTTTTATATATATATATATGTCAGATTTCCGATAACAATTTGACGAATTATGAAGAATCCAGCCCTTAAACAGGACACGAATGAGTTTGTTAAAGTTACGGGTAGCACAGGATGACCATTTGTTAAATTTTAGGGTTTCTTAAAGAAACAAGGGAACAATGTTGTTGCTGACTGGAAAAAGAGGTTTCTATATTAAGACAACATATATTAGATCTAAATGCGTCTTAATTGGTATAATTATACGAAGAGATTGATATGGATGCATTATTTTTTAACTGCATGCATTTCAACTCGTTTTCGCACATTTGTCGCATAGATACGTCGCTGTGAAAGACGGAATGTTTGCGTATTACCACAACTACGAGGTTTGTAGTTACTGTTTACAAATTTTCATCCCGCATTCCGTTTCTAAACTCTTGCCAGCCGAATATTCAATGGTACACGACACCTTACAATGTGAAAAGGATAGAGAAGGGGGGGATATCCTTCGTGCTGTGGTGGTTGTCCAACAGCTATATATAGGTACTGTCAGCCATGACATGACCAATCTGACGACTTAATCCCGCCATGCAAATTTTATGTTATTGTCAGTTTCATTCGCAGTCAACGAACACTAATATATTAGCACAGCGGGACTTTATAAGATTGGCTACGCTACTGCTGATCTGTGTGCCGATATTTTTTTAATTCGTTTCCGCGTTCAAGTGTTTTTTTTACTTGGTATACAATTCCCTGTCACTTTAATGCTTTCGCTCTCCATTTTCTGGTTAGGATTTCATCGTGGCCAGCCCAATCAATACGATTAATATGAACCTTGCTTCCGTTAAAGTGGATCCTAAATCTCCTAATCGCTTGCAACTGGTCACACCTCACAGAACATATCTGTAAGTTTTACATTTTCGTTTGAAAGCAATGCAGCATGCCTTGAGCTTGTTTTTTTTTCATTTTCTCGGTGATCAATAGTACATTTGACTTTCACTACTTTGTACATTTCACTTTGTTCGTCGCTGTTTTTCTTTCAAGAAAAATTAGATGCCCTTTTCCATATGCGTTTAAACACCATTTCCCTTATAGTAGCAGTTCGTTTGATTGTCATGATTTTTCTTTCATTCAAATCTGACGACTATAGATATCCTCAATAATTTGCCATCTCAGGATGTGTTTGTCGTGAACATATCATTTTCATATGATGTAAAATATTGTGCAGATAATTATTTTCCTTTTTGCATCCGATAGAACAATTTCCCGATTTGCATGAGCGAAACCATCGCCGGGAAATGTAATCTATTGCTAGTTTGGTATATAGTTATTATTGCCAGAGAGTAAATTCTGATAGTGTGATTAGTGTCTGTAGCACATTTGGTCTGTCATGGTTGAACCACATGGTTAACCATATCGAGCACCTTCATCAATTGCAACCGAATGGTAATTTTGCTTTACGACATAGGTATACGTAGTTACACAGGTAGGTGAAATTGCCCCAAGCAAACAAGTCGATCTTAACTTATATTTTGTTCCCAAGCTTCCAGTGTGACGAGGAACAGGAATTAAAGTCGTGGGTTGCTGCTTTGGAGAAAGCGATACAGCTAGCACTCAGCGATAAAACGGTAAGAACGCCAAAACTTGCATTTCAGGCGAATTTGATAGAAAGAGAATTTATTGTAGTAAAATCACATAATTTCGGACGTAAATGTTGCAAAAAGAGCTTACACTCACTATTTTCTGCCTTTACGGCGAATATTTCGTAATCCGACTAGAATATGATTATGTGGAAAAAAATAAGATTTTGATTTAATAACTATTTAACTATTGATTTGATTGGTTGAAGGTCACGTGGGGAAGATAGCCTGCTACTTCCTATACGTGCCCAGGCGACATTCATTTAATTGGGGTTTAATGGTCGCCGAATAATATGCCATGAAGTTACAATTCGAAAAAATTAATATATAAAAACTATAATTAACCTTCTTAATTTGAAGGTCTTGGTATAAGACGAAGAGGATATTATAATATTTATTATTTCCTCTTTACAGTGTTTACCTAAATATTTAGGTAGTCTAGATAATTCACCATATGCATGAGTGAACACCGCAGAAATTGGAACACCGCGAAAATCTAATCACTGCATGGTTCACAATTATTTTGCATTTCTGTATCGCTATCAAAGAGAAAGCAGTTGAATAACTTTAAATAATTTCTTCTGAATACGTATTCTGCAATCGTTTGACAGCTCATCAGCACCGCTGTGTCGTATGAGTGTGCCTGAGGATAATCAAAATTGCAATGGCATTAGAAGACTACGTGCACACGACAACGTTTTCATGCCAAAACGGTTTCAAACACGTATAGTCGAAGGCGATTTAAATATTGGGCATATCTATCAACTAGACAAAAATGTTTTTAAAAACGTTTTTAAAACGACGCTCATGTGCACACAGCCTTATTAACTGAAAATTTACTATGTATTCGTCTTTTTAATATTCGATTTACTGATTGCTTGGTTGATAAAAAAAAGACAACATGCGTTCGTCGTTTCATTCTGAATATTCATTTATTTACTTTCATGTCAGGTAATCACCAAAGTCTGGAAAAACCCAAGCAACAGATGGTGCGCTGACTGTGGGGAAAGAGGTATGGCACATAACTTTACTTCTTATTAACCGAACTTTTTTGCCGAAAAATATCGGACCACGAGGTCAAATATTTATATGTGGTTTAATATATGGCATATGGCATTCATTACCACTTGAAACGAACAATAAAAGTTTATACATGAATTCACCTATATAGCTGGTGGACTTTTGGTAAACAACAAGATATTGCATCATATGTATACCTATAACTGCGTGTTATCGGTTATTTTTCGAAAAGATGAAATAAATTTCAATGTAAAATATATCTTTTCCATTATCTCGTCGATTGACTACCATGTGCCATTTGTGTTACGTCACACGCATATACCGTAGACGCAGCGGCGTTTATTGGAATAATTACAGTCTGAGCAAGCTTTAATAATTTTGCACCCGTTCGTGCCTCGTTTCTTTCTTTTTCTATTATTGCACCATAAATTGCACTAAATACAGCCCATGTGTAAAGGCATTAAATGATATAGTTCACTTTTATTCACTTTTGTTTATTCACTTTTTCACACCCAGATCCAGTGTGGGCGTCAATCAACCTGGTGGTATGCGTGTGTGCTCGTTGTATAGGCGTACACCGGAACTTGGGTGTTCACTCGTCGAAGCCAAGATCATTATTGATGGACGAAAAAATCTGGAGTCCTAATTTGATTAGAGTGAGCTTTTAAAAATTTACTGCCTTAATTGCAATATCAATAACATTTGCGGACCGGTCCGATTGTATTTCGGTACAGACAGATTACTGGTATTTTAGAGTGTTTCAAGAACTCTGCATTCAAGTATATCGTTATTTACATCTATCTAGCTCGCTATAATCTTACGAAATACTCTTATTTTAATTTAAAATATGACCGGTCTAACCATTTTGGCCGCTTAAAGGAAAGCGCCCATTGTTACCCCCTAACAACGAGCTCAAGCTAATCCTCAATTCTAATCTTTATACAGCTGATGGTAGAAGTTGGGAATGAGAAATCAAACAAGTTTTGGCAGTTCCGGATTCCTGACGATGATCGGATCACTCCTGAATCGTCCAGGTGTGTGCATATTCTGTATATTGAAACTCTACTTATGACCATCATATTGATTACATTGAAGTTTGCATGAGCCGTTACAGCCCGTCATTTATACAGCATTCTCAGTACTTTGTGTAATTAGCAAATAGATAACATTGAACCGTTGTTTAAAATTTATCATTCCAGTCGGATATTGTTTATGCTTCAACAGTGTTTGAACGAGACAATTCCTCTATTTCGAAGAAACTTTGATGTTATTAAATTAATCCCACCCCTATATAGCATAAACGTAGCAGTTAATATGGCTGAGAGATGAGACGAAGAAGCATTAATAAATGACAAAAAATTCTTCAAACTGTTAGCCATTTCAAACACAGGATTTTGCAACTTGCAATTATGAATATTTTGAAGTCATTTTCAAAATTGACATGAGAAGACATCATTTGTGATAAGATCATAAGAACAAAAAAGTGTCCACGAGCCGCTGGGACGAGTGTACCTATTACTGAACAGATAACGGTTAAATTGACTTGTTTTACATAATAATAAAATCGAAAATATCCCCAAATTATAAGGAGGCAAAGAGTTTTTGTTTTCCCCATTTTTGCCGGTAAACCATGGCTCTCAGCAATGAAATTGCTTGAATTCTTAACGTGATTTTATAAACGAATATATCTCTGCATGTATGCATAATAAGGTGAACTTTCCATTATGATCGTCTTCCAGGAGTCAGTTAGTGTATAGAATTTTGATCGACTAGCGAGATCCATGACTGCGAATTACTTTATTCCCATGCATATTCAGCCCCATTTTTTGCGGGTTTTATGATTTTCATGCATGACGCAGCGCCTTTAGTCTATGTTCCATGCAACATTTTATACTTTGGTAAAAATGCAACGTCGCTTAAATTCTCTTTCATTAGTGAGGAAAGGATGGAATTCATTCGTAGAAAATATGTACTTCGGATGTATCGTCATGTTTCAGCCAAGTATGGTGACGCCGTTCAACTTGGAGAGGTAAAACGATTATAATAACTGGCAATTGATTTGATTGACGCAACAAGATATTTGAGGACTCCGGTGTAAATACTTTTTGCCTAGCTGTCCCAGCGGTTGGCAAGGTGTCTATGACTCGAAATTTGCACGACCTCACACTTTCGTTAAGCTCCCTAAATTATTTAACAATTTTTTGTAGACATTTTTTATTATGCCCTATATACGTATACTGCGCATGTCTTACTAGGTTATATAATGTTTCACCAAAGAGCTGCACCCAAGTAATGTGTTTTCACAGAAAAAAATTATTTTTTTCGACATTTTGCAGGAGTTGAAGCGCTCCGTGCGAACGAACAATATTGAAAAGACAATGCAATTGGTGTTTTGTGGCGCCGATGTAAGTATATGCAGTTTGTTATAGTTTTCGCATAGATATATCCGTAAACTAACGAAAGCAAAGTTGAGGGGTCGGTACTTTCCTGTTTATGAACAAGCTTTGCTATTGGTTGATGATAACAATAAAACACAATGAACTATACAAATTTAGTTTGATATATTTGCGAAAAACAGAAACGTGATAACGGAAGTACAGTAAAAATTCTAAGTTCTATAGTTTCGCCATGCATAGGTGTATTCATGCAGGCATTGAAAATACAACAGAACAACAGAAACCGTTTAAAAAATTAATGAACAAGCTGAGAACAGCTTGTTACCTGGAAACCATTTGTTGAAACAGACTCTATGCATATATATATAGTCCTTTCAAACACAATGAGGAATTACAAGTACTATCGATATCTTGAATTTTAAACTTGCTTTATTCCTCGGGGTCTGCTTCTTTTTTTATAATTCTTGAAATTGCCAACTGCACGTGGTTTAGAATAGGTTTGCATACCGTTCATGCTACAAATTGTGTGTTGTTACGTGTGTGGGGGTATATATATATATGCTGTTTGCATATTGAATTCTGTTTCATTGTGGTCTGAATCGGTCATCGAAGATCAAAAATGCACATTAAATTGGTTAATAATCCTTAGTTTTCAGTAACAGGAAACCTTACAAAAGACTATTTCTTTATCATTGTAGGTCAAATACATATCAAGCGATGGTTCCGAGACTCGAACTCGTAAGTTATTTGGCTTATTCTAATTTCTGCCCAATGGACAATTTCCCTACTAAACCTAACTAAAGTACAAAAGATTTCATTAGTAAAAGTTGAAAGTTTTGTCGCGAAATACCGCAAAGTTTGAAAAAGATGGCCGTGCAAAGCCTTACCACTAATTTAATACTAATTTATACAAAATTTACTAGCTTCACGCTGCGATATTTTTCGTATAATATGCCTATTTCAACATATTTCAACCGAACTTTCCAATTTTACTAATTGGGGTTGATGCATGTACCAAAATGTCAAGCATAGCCATTCGGCCAATGTTTTCTAAATATTGCTAAAATGTTCACTTTTTTTAGCCTACGAATTAGCTGAGGATGCTAAACAAGAACTTCAAATGGTAATTGCAACAATAGGATTATTTCTATAGGGTCATTTTTTGGGGGACACCTTGTACACTGGCGGTCAAAAAGAACTGCTGAAAAAGTGAAAAAAATACTCTCAAATGAACGTAACTGCATGTCCCTCTAACAACATATACGAGTAAATATCGACTAGATTACATGCTAAGCTATATGAAATATTAATATTTTGTTGACCCTCCTTTGCGGCATGGCATACGTTCTGTTAAGGTGGTGATCTTAGTTAGAGGAACACATAAATCATGGACGCTTTGTGAATTAACTCATCTCTTGCACTATCCTTTTGATATTGTCCCACAGATTTTTAATAGGGTTAACGTATTTGACTGTGCAGACCAATCCATTTCTGTCACTCCCTCTTCCTGAAACCATTGTTTGACTATCTTGGAGGTGTGGCAGGTTGCATTACATTATTGAAATATTGCTTGGAATAAAAGAATTATTCAATATGTCTGTGAAGCCTTTATGAATTTGTGTCTAAGCAGTTCTTTTTGTCCGCTAGTGTATATTAAAACATTGATCGTCACGATTCCTATTACATACAGTAATAGGAACATTTTAGCAGTTCTTTTTGACTGCCAGCTAGTGTATATAAAACTAATAATGAAAATTAATCTCGTGCTTAATTACAATATTTCGTAGGAATTTCTGATGCAAAATGGAGCGGTAAATTCTGGTATGTAACTGCGTAGTTACTCGCTCGTATTGCAACGTGATTTTTCGTTTCTTTTAGGATGAGCATAGGAATCCCAATAAATATTTTTGATATATCTTATCCTTCGCGATCACTGACGTCACTGAACTCACAAATCAACTGGACTAACTTTTATTTTTTCAAAAATATTTATTGGGATGGTCTGAGCCCTACCGTTTCGTTTTAATTTTTCAGAACTGGAGCCTGTGCACACGCCTGAGCCATTAAACAATGATGATAACACTTACGAAACCGTATTTGAGGTTAGTCTTGATTTTTCTGGTGCTGTAGCAGCTAGTGTACACTGTAAAACAGTTTATTCATTTAGGATTGGTCACCTTAAAAGCTTAACTAAAAACTTGGTTAAAACAGCGAATTTTTTGGTTGTTTTAACGAAATAGAATTGATCAAGAGGGGGTAAATCTGAGACAACCGATTTCAAATTAGTTGCTTTTACAATTGTTTTTAACAGAATAGCTTTAGTGTATAATATTATTGGGTAGTGTTTTTAATGAGCAACCTAATGTACTGTTTCACGTGTTGGCACTACTTAAGATATATCGTCCTTCGACTTGTCGGCCCAAGTGGGAGTCGTATATATGACTGATTAAATTCAAATCACATATTCTCACTGCACTACTGGCTGCTGTTATTACTCACCGAAGAGCCGATATACAAAGTGAGTAGCTGAGCCAATCAGATTGCGTTATGGCTCATATAAAGTGAATAGCTATATATTATAATACACGTTCTTCGGAATTGTGAAAATGGAAAAACCATGTCAGATTGACAATTTGTATTGAAGGCCATTTTTTAACAATCAAAGAGATGCAAATTAATACTCAATAACAACCACATTAAGCACATGCTAATTTTAGTGAAATAGTTTTGTAAAGTTTTAGTAAAGTTTTGGGAATCTTAAATGCGGTGAATATGGCCTTGCATGCAAATCATGCACCCTTTTTCATCGCGTGCGGAAATTGCTATGCCATTTTCGATATGAGAGTTGTGGTAACAATTTCCGCTGGTGTTCTAGTATACAAAGTTCGCGAAAATTGCATAAAGCGACATGTTTCTGCGTACATTTGTAGACTATACAACATTAACAACTAAACTTTTCAATTTTAATATCTTTAGCGCGCTTTTTATTTTGACGATACTTTTTTAGCTATAAATTAGTGATTAGTCGATATACAATGCAAATTGCTATTAGTCTCAATTTATCTTGATGCATGCAAAACCACAGGAACAAAACTTTAATGTTGACCGGGCACTACAGTGAAAACTGAAAACGTCAACAATTTTATATTTTGAAATTTGCCCTTTTGACACTTTTTCTGTAACACGAGTTCGGCTTAGCGAAAAATTATGGTACGTGTTATATATAGACTTAAAACCAAAAGAAGATATTTTAAGTCAACATTTGGCAACATCACAGTTCACATGCATGCATGCATGTGCACCAGCTTGGCAGGGGGTGCGGTGTATACGTTTACTAATGCAAACAATCGCAAATGAAAGTCCTAAAGACTTCGGGAAATTATGAAATGACATAAGCCAAAAACCTTCTGTTCTGATGAAAAATACGCGATGAAAATGTCGTGGTACGACCTGAGGAGAGCGAAAAAGATGGAGATTGGAAAAAACATAGTCAAAATTGAAGGTCTCCTGTGGAATTAAGTGGTTACAAAGGTTGTTATGAATGGACTACATAGATATGACTCTGCGACGCTTCTTGTCTTTCGACGGAAATTTATCATCCCAATTTACCCAATTTCACGTAACCTGGCCTCGGATCAGGGTGGCCAGCGCGGACGATGTAAGTTGAACGAAAGAAATTACCCGTGCAAAACAAATTAAAGGCATTGCACCAAGGCATTGCTCGGAAAATAGTTAATTGTCATGCACAATATGTACATTTCTGGTTTCCCCATGCATACATATATAGTACGTGATTTTAACTTAGAAATGTCGCCTGACTGCATGCATGTAGAGCGCACTTTCTTGCACTTCTCGCAAGATAGTGATTATTTGCGAGAAACCGTGCTCCGAAATGCGGAACGGTTGAACCGAATTCTCAACCTTTTTGTTCATTAGACATTACGTATTGAAATGTGATACCGAAATTACAGTGAACCACGCTGGGTTTGTTTTACTTTGTCGAAAAAACGAAATACAATGTAGATAAACTCAGCGATTGAATCTCTGGTAGCTTAGCACAAAACGCTAGTGTACATTAGTCGTTTTCAACAATCTTAAGGTCTTGTGACACAAGGCGACGAATGCGCTAGAGTCTGCATGGTTACATGCGTGCACTGTGGAACATTTTGCATGAGACGACAACTAGTCTCTTAGACTCGTATGTGAATGGGCTCGTAGCGTGCAGCAGAATTTTTATCCAGCTAAAATCGGTGGCCAGACGACGAGGAAGAAAGATGTAGTTACAAGAATGCTTTTGATGCTCAGGAGAAACTTTCGACATGAAAATTGGGCTGCCAAATTCAACGAATTGTGGACTGTCCACATGCACTTTACAAAACTACTTACGTGTTTTACAAAAGATACAATCGAATTTTCACTTTTTCGGAATAAAATTGAAAACAAAAATTGCCATTTTGATCAAAAACATGATTTTGATGTTTGGCATAACCTTGCCACCTAGTGACATTCTTCCTTGAAATTTTTAATAGGATAATCGTGTTTTGCATTGTGTATAGTCTGAAAATAGCTATCTATCTATAATAACTATCGCCTGTTTCTAATAGATCGTTTAAAATTCAAGATTTAAGGCAAACCATTATAAATCAAACTTGTAAATAAATCTCATTGAAATTCACTCAAAATCAAACGGTATTTTCACCGTCAGGATCTCCCACTCGATGCCAATATTAGTTTGATTTTGAGTGAATTTCAATGAGAATACAAGCAGGTGTAAGTTATTTATTATATATTTTAAATTTTCAGCTGGTTTCAGTCAACAAGTATAAAGTCACACTGTTTAACGAATCATATGTCTTGTTCATTGTAGGTAAACACCACACATGAACCCGTGGTCGCTACTGTACCTATCGTCTATGAGAAGGAGGGCTTCCTGCACAAGAAAGCACCAACTGCTGCAGTAAGTTTTGATCAGATTGAATGCATGATGACAGATAAGGCAACCCCAGAGCTGGGTGGCGAAGACTGGGGAGGGGATGTGAATTACGTGTATTAGATCTGAAGGGCTATATACAGCTATAAGTGTGACAGAGGAAAGGAACAGGACTTGCGTCCCAATTGACACCTGACCCCAACATTATAACTGGACTTTACATTACACAAATAACACTTATTTGAGATTATAACTTATAATTCTAAGTAAAGCCAGGAGGGCTGTAAGAAGTTAACTTAGAAACATAATAATTACGAATGCTAACTCTGAAAGAGTTAAGCGAGCCACAGGTTTTTAGATCTGCTGGTAGACTGTTCACTATAGCTATATCAATACCTATTGATTTTAATGGTATATAAATACTCCTACAAACGCACTGGGATATGTTTTTGCTGCATGGCACCTTGCCGTTTTGAATTCTTTCTTTTTCCTGTTGCAGGTTTGGCGAAAGAGATATTTCATGTTAAAAGGGCGCGAATTGTGGTACGACAAAGGGGTAAGCCGGTAGTTTTGCTTTAAATTTATAAGGGTTGCACAAATCCCCAAGTAATCTCTGCAATTTTCAACAGTGCTTTCACATTTTTATCAACCAGGTACCAAATTATGTTCATATGATATGCATGCATGCAGCTATACGCAGCTTTGATGATTTCTGTACTGTTCGGAGAAGAATTTCTATTGTTTGCCCATGCCCTCCTAAATAATTTCTACACTATTACAAATGAGAAGAAGTGTTTGTTATGAAATAGATGCATGCACATTCATATATGGGAAATTCCCTTAGTGCTTCTGAATTTGATAATTTAATCCTTTATGTATAGTATTAAAGAGCACTTATAGTTAGCTTTCGAGTGATGCCTCTCAAGAAAGGACCTAATTAAATTTAGTGATCATGAATTTGCCCAATTGAATGAAAAACAAAGTGAATTGAAATTCATGCGCCGATGAGAAAGTCCATCTAATTACCAGGATGTGGTTTTCGACCAGAAATATTTCGTCCGTCACTGGATCGATGCTAACGATCCTTGTGTTGAAAATATTTATGTTGTTCATTTTCCTTATCCAACTTTCATTTCCTCATTTTTGTTTTACCTCACCTCTCACTTTGTTCCACTCCACCCCATATATCCATTTTTTAGTAATCGCAATTTCAAATTTTCTGGGTCTTATTTAAACAACTGTTTCGCCTTTTGCATCTTAGGATAAAGATGGCCATAGCTTAATCAAACTGAAGGACGTTGAAGAATATACATACAACGATTCATATTTATTAGACATTGTTACTGCAGAGAGGTAAGAGAAATGTTGGCTGTATATATATTACTTTTAAACTTTTTTGTTTTCCCCACTCACCTGCACGACCAAGCCAATTTGAGGTTTGCGGATCACTGCTTTCCAAAGAGTTAATGTAATTAATAGAATACACATGGTTTGGAGACCACATAAAACTACAATACAACTCATTAACTATATTGAGGTACATTTAGGCAAAAAATTGTCCCTTTCTCATCACATGTCTGTTGTGTTTTGCACAGATAAAGCAATAACAATCTTATAATTACATATTTTTCAAGTCAAGGTTGAGGAGCTTAGCAAAATGAATGCCATTGGTAAATTTGGTTAAAATACATAGACACGTGACGAGAAAGGAACCATTTTTTGGATCCAAAACCATTTGTTATCTATTAACTGTGATATAATGTTGGCACAGAGCTAATAGGGAACCGGACGTGATGGTTATAAGAATAGCTTCGATTTCTGGCATCTTTTGCTTACCCTCACCGAACATATCGAACTACTGAGAAGATGACCTTTTATACGTGTTTTAGTTTACTGGTTCCCATGTGAAACGTTCGGTATCGATTTTTGTGAGATCGAAGCTTGTCTTTACTTTTATTTATGTATTTCTGTGGTAAAACAGTCGCGTACGTTATCGATTCACTCAAGCTTACTCAAAAAAAAAGTTTGACATACTTCAGCGGAGAAAACGAGCTACGACTTTTGCACTTCAACCGATTACATGAATTAAGCCTAATACGACTTTGAGGCATTAAAATAAGTAAATTTACTAACATCCAGTCCATCCTATGAATAGCAGCATGTGCTGTTCTGTTTCACAAGGACTAGCTGTTGTTGCTTCAAAATCATTACATGCGTTCAATTTCGTTAACCGGGATCATGTTAACAACCTTTTAGGCGGGCAATTAGTGGAATACATGAAACGCATACACCACATTGAATGTAATATTAAACGATTTTTTGCAGGACGTACAATTTAAGAGCAGATACGAAGGCAGACGCATTTGGTTGGTACACAGCCCTCCGAAACAAACAGGTTTGGCCATGCATGCTTACAGCTAGTTATCAACAATTTTATTACCAAGAGATGATAGAAGTTTTTGGTGGTGGGTTTCTGGCTAGCGCTGCATGGATACGGGCCTATCTTCATATTTATATAACGAAGATTTTAGACTGCTATAGTTGGTTCTTACTTAGATGGTTCTCTCGTAATTATCCAGGTATTTAGTGTTCCTCTCGAATGCCAAGAACTTGGTTCCGACGGCATACCGCACTTGGTCGCAAAGACACTTCAATTTGTGGAAACGCACGGTAAATTTTCTCTCTTCTTCCCACAGACTCTTGTGTCCCGATCAACATTTCATAAATTCAGCTAACAAAGTGCGTTTGTTGAATACTGGAAGAGGGTGGGGGCTATGACTTGCTCAAATGCCACAACATAAAAAATAACAATTTTGGTTCTCTTGCCCAATATAACTTACGTGACATGTAAGACCACTAAGCCACTGCGATTTATTTTCTTTGTTGTTTTTCAGGTCTCGATGCAGAAGGAATTTACCGCAAAAACGGAAACAAGGCAAAAATTAAAATTTTAAAGAAACTGTTCAACCAAGGTAATTAAGTTTATGATTTTGCATTTGACTCGCTCCGATTATTTATGCCAGGACTGGTTGACTAGCTGACAATATTCCAATCAGTTTCAGTCGGATTGAGCATTGTTACATTACTGTGAATCATTTGATGTTTTGACATGAATTTTTGCAATTTTGTAATGAACATTCCGAAGTGGCAATGAAATACGTAGTAGAATTCTTCAAGACTAAGAAATTGCATTGAGTTCTCACTGCATGATGCGAACCTTCAACGAGACTCGACTTTAATTTTCTTAGACGCCGAATCAGTGATGATTTCTCGTGAAGAGTACGAGGCTCACGATGTCGCTGGACTTCTGAAGGAATATTTTCGTGAACTACCAGATCCGTTAATGACGGAAGACGCCTACGCACACTTTATCACTGCAAGTATGTTGCTTGTCTTTTTCCACAGACTACATTTCAGCTCAGAGCATGGTAGCACTGACCATGGGAGATCGTTAAGTGGCTGTTGGAGCAATTATTTATTTATTTGTGTAAATTATACTTATACTAAGATGATATTTTAGCCTGTTGGTACCACGCTTTATTGGCGCACCACAGCTAAATTTGGTACCTATACCCAAGATTGCCCATGCCCAGGCTACCAATACAAAACCAACTATGCCACACCAATAAATTGAGTAGTGTAAATAGAGCTTTTGTTTTGGTTGCTCACTACAGGGTATATGCTTTTCCCGCCCTCTAACTATACTAAGCAAATTAAGTAATTCAATGACCACTTTGCAAATAGAATTTTCTAATATATTTCATCAAATTAAATTCCGATTGTTGTACAGCATGGCTAGGAGTGTCATTTAGTCTCCACGTCTCGAAAGAAAATAAATGATGCGCAGTTACATGTACGCTATGCAAACCTATTTTTTCGTTTCATGTATAGGTTTATCGCCAGATCATAACGAGAAGTTGCATATGTACAAAGATAGTCTTGCTCGGTTAGCTGAGGTGAACCGAACCACCTTGAAGGCTGTGATTAATCACTTAATGAGGTATTGTGCTTGATCTTTTTTTTCTCAACCGCGATATCTTGTAAAACAAAATACTACTTCTCTACAGGTTAGCACGATTCAGTTTTTTCCGATCGATTTCATTTCTGACTTACGGAATGTAGTCTGTTATTGGTAAAGCAATATTGCAATGGCTTTAGTTGATTTGCAGCCCATATATGTACACTACAATTAAGTCAACAAGCAGACTATAAAACGTATATAACAGGAGCTAACTGGCAAACTGGATCCGACAAAATTGGATCGTGTGAACAGACCCAGCTAGGCACTTACTGTGAAGACGGAGATACTACTATTTAAGATCGCTGCGATTCAGTTAGATATATGTTATATAAAAACCGTCATTTTCTTGTGTTTTTTATCTTTTCAGAGTGTCCTCGCACTCGCAACAAAACAAAATGAAGCTGGAAAATATTTCCCTCATATTTGGGCCAACGCTCATGTCAAACGCAGAGGTGCGTATTCTTTTACCATACATCTCAGTAATATCCTTTATATATTCTATCGATTTATTTTTACAGTTTTCCTTGATAAATAATTCCTCTTTGCAGTATCGATACTTCATGAAGTTACCGTAAATTTTACATTGAGAATAAGTTTAACATTTTGAAATGCGATTTAAATGCTTCACATTTTTGAAAATTAACTGGCTGTAGGAAAACAGGGCTGCTGGATTTTCATTTTTAGCTCACTCTAAAATTGTAGCTTTAGCATTATTTACGTGCATGCATTCTCCCTTGACCAATTGTTTGGTAAATAGCTATAGTTTTATTGCTTTCGAGCATTTTTACTACGCTGGAATGAAATGACTATCCGATGAATAGCGTTGTTCAGGCTTCGTACAACCGGTTGGTGCTAAGAGAGTTGATATATGACAATTATAGTATCATGTTATATGTCTTGGTTCGAAACTGATTTTTAAGCCAAATACGACTTTGAGGCATTAAAATAGGTAAATTCACTAAAATCCAGTCTACGAAACCGATGCTAAATGAATTTTTGTGTTTTATCTGTTTCTCGCGATTTGCCAAGCTCTTAACGAGTATTGCAATACTACGATTTTTATTTTCACCTTACAAAGATGGGAGCCATGGATACCAGCACGATCAATCAGGAATTTACCGTAATCGGTGATTTTATCACGTACTACAAATGGTTGTTTGATGTAAGTATAAGCGTTTTTGTTTGCTCTTTCTATGAATCTATGAACATTGTTCAATAATATTTCGTTCGATTTTTACCCCAGGTTGGTGACGATGAGATGTTGAAAGATCAGGTATGCTTAATTAAATTAACAACTGCTTGAAGAATTTCTCCGCTGTTTTTAGTGCAAAGTTTCAAAGAAACTTTGCAGTATTGTGATGAGTAGGGAAATTCACATCAGTCATTCATACAGTCATAGTGTAAACTTTCCGGGGGGTAGGTTGATTTATGCCTTTAGTAACTTTTTGTACATGATCTGTAATTTAAAGTTTTTAAATCAGTTTAACTTGCTTTATTTATTAATGCACTATCACTTTAATTTGCTAAGTTCACCAAAAATTGATGAATTTTGACCGTCACTGTAAATTTTGAAGCATTGCTTTTCCGTGGTTTGAATTTTGTTTTAAACAGATTTGCCCCCGGAACGCCCGATTTTTTCTTATACGTCGCAACTGCGCATGCGCCGTCGAGCCTTGAATATTATTCGCAATTCGCAAATCAAAATGTAAAGAAGCCAGGAGCGACGAGCATTGCTTCAAAACATTCGGGCGTAAAAATCGAGCAATTCTTTGAGAATCTACGCAATTTATCGACATATGTTATGAATTACGAGCATTCAATTCAACACAAGTATAATTTGGAAGGTTTATTCCATAAATAGAGCTAAGAGGTAGGAAGAAATGACGCTGTGTTGTTTATGTATTGATAATTTGATTGATCTCTTACACGAATATATATTATGTCAATAGCAAGTCGGTCCTGATATTCTGCATACAGTACATAAAATGATACAATACAAAACCGAGATTTTGTGCAGTAATTAAATCATTTTGGCGGTTTACAGTATTGATTATAAGTATATTGTTTTATATCAATTTACGCGTCGACGTTCCACATCATAGATATAATATGCAATGCGGTTTATTTATATTATTTACAACGCAACTATTTTGGCTGTTCTTATGAAATGACGGATAAATTGTTGCCATCATATAAATGTAGTGAATGTAGTCACAGTTGTTTGACGAAGAAAAGAGACTAAACTGAGAAAAATCGTGCCCGGTTTACATGAGCAACTAAAATATATCCTAAGATAGGCAACTTCAATCACAATATTGAATATTGAATACTCATCCCTAAAACTCAGCTAAAATAACAAGAGAAATGAAATCTACGATAATTTTACTATACACTGACTATATTGAATGGGCCGATGCTGGACCCGCGCTGTTGACTTTTGAGAACGTTTGAAAATGACGAATTTGTTATCTAATTGGCTGTCACAACAGCGAGAACAAAAACAGGCCTGTTGTAAGTAACAAAAGTATATTAGCATGTAAATAAATGACATATGTGTGAATTTCATGAAAGTGTACATTTTTAAATCAAATAAAACCATTCGCTATAGGGCTGCCTATGCTGCGACTAACGTGACTTCACTAACTTCAGTACTTTGAGTAATTTCCTTTTGATTTAAAATGTTTAATCTCGTTCATTATATCTTACTGGCATATGTCAAAATGTTTCTGTTGGGACAAACGTGTGGTTGCTTACAGGGCATGGAAACTTTGCACTATCCTTGGATCCCTAGTTAAAATTGTGGCCAATTACTTATGCCTGTATAGAAGAAATCTCACTCACAATCTCTCATTGAGTGTGACATAGAAATTGTTTTATCACTGATCAATCAGATAGTCTTCCTTAATAACGGAAAAATTCAAGGTAAAACATTGAAAATCAAGCTTTTATTTAAGTGAAAGTACCGCAATATAAACAAACGGACATGATTTGTTAGTGCCTTCTTCTCATATAATTCAAACAACTAAAGCAGGTACTTTTACTAGGACTTTTACTGAACGGAGGCTACTTTTTTTACCACCTCTTGTACTAGTCAAGATTTTCAAGTTATCAGAATGTGTTAGAACCATAATTGTAATTGTACTTGTAGTTATTGCTGTGACACTTTTTCTTTTTTTCATTTAGAAAATCGCGGAGGCTATGAGCAAGTTGTCTCAACTATCTTCAATAACTTCAAAAGTATGTCTGCTATTACAGGACATAATTATAGTATTGTGAAATAGTAGACACTTGAATCGCTGGATTGTTTATTTAATTGTATCCCAATAACCAGTTAGTATTTGTCGGTATAGTACAAATGGTGAGCTCTAAAAAAACTGGAGCGATAACTGATGGTTATTAGTACCATGAAGTCCCTTTCTATTGTTTTTGCCGGTGCGATCGTTGACCGTAAAGACAAACACATTAGACAAAAAGCCATGAATTTGCAGTTATCCAACAAAGATGGCGAACTACATGCAAAAATATCTAAATATATTGTCTTTCAAATACAAGTTAGACTTCTATGTATAATAAAGGAACTACAAGTGTACGCAATAATATTCTGACTAATATCTCATAACTACAAGTTAACCATGATAAGGATCACTCTTACAAACAAGTAGTTCGTAGTATCGTCGTATCTGATCAACTTTCTGTTATTTTTACTTTTTAGAGCAATTTATGCGAGTTCAATTCATTAACGTTGGATATATACACCCCCATTGCTGATAGTGACAGCTGCCGAATTACGGTAAGGCCTGCATTGTGATTTCAGGATTTGCACGAGAGGCCAGTATGCACAATCACACTTTCTCTCTCCCCGAAGACAAAAAATGTTTTGCAAAATTTGCATGTTATGCAAGGCTATATTTTCTGCGTCTCACAGCCGAAAAGAAAACCCTTTTTCCAGCTAATATCTTTTCAACAAATACAGGGTGTATAAAAGAAGACATTTCAAAATCCGTATATTGGTGAATTTTTTAATGCCTTTAAATGCACATTTGCTGAACCTTATAAACCTTTCACAAACTTTGAAACCCTGTAAAGCAATGAATGTTCGAGGAGCTATCCGTAATGAACGTCTTTCGCCAATTTCATCTAATTTCATTTAATCTGCAGGCGGAACAAGTCGACTCAGTCGTTAGTTAACGTGCGTGTGAGAGTGAGCTTTCTGAATGCAAGTGCACGTAAGGATTTCTAATACGATATGTTTTTCTTCAGGTGTATTCAGACACAACTGCCAGTAAAATTTGTCAAGAATTGACATCGAAAAAAGCTATGCCACCAGATTTGAACTGGGTGTTGTTTCAAACCGTGAATGAAGAAATAGGTATGAACTTATGTCAGGAAAGAAGAGAATTTATACGACTGCCATTCCGTTTCCTGTAAAGATACAAAGATCACAAAATCAATAATGATATCAATTACAAAAAAGACTCGCAGCATTTCAAGCATGTGACCTAATGACGTAAAATATCCAGTCAACAATTCGCTTTTTTTAAATACCATTCGACCGCTGTACATTTTCCTGAAAGTACATTCGTTTTTTGTGATCGTGGACAGGGCCAAAATAAGATGCGAAACTAGATAATAATTTGGGTTGGTGGGTTCATATTCATGTATTCTTTCTGCCCGACGAGTTTCCTTCGTTCGTATACGCCTTTTTAAAAGAAATCCGACGGGTGGAACAGGATATATGAATATGAAAATCCCCCCTCCCAATTTTCGATTTTCGATTCGTCAAAATGAAGCCAACCAAAAAAATTGTTATTTTTAGAACGACCATTTCCCGCTTTGGAGAAAGTACTGGACACGGTCATAGAGACTGGAAAATACACGCAACTTAGCAAGGGTAGCCGTTTGGTCGTAAAGGAAAACTATCTTGAAGACAAATTTAAAGCACACGTAAGTATAGAAAACACTTTTCTTCAACCATGCCGCACGAATTCACAGGTGATCGGAATTACGAATGCTCTGATATGCATATCGTATCGCATATGCACTCGTTCATATCTTTCAAAAGGAGAAAATCGCAGCAAAAATTGCACACGTGTAAACGGGCCTTGTGTTTCTGAGTGCAGCAAATCGCTTTGATGTAGTATATATACAAATACCATCCGATCGTACTATAGTGGAACAGAAACTGCGTGACCGAGTTCCGATCTTGTGCAAATTTTTAAACGCTCAAGAGCTTCAAGATTATGACTTGATAAACAAAATATTAGTCGTCCACATTCTTGAGAAACTTTACATTAAATGTGATAACACAATAGACTATTCAATGACTTTCTGATCGTTTGCGTTTACTGCTATATTTGCTGAATGCCAATGATTATACATATTACTTGCTACAAACTTGCTACAAATGCTACAGTTTTGACTGAACTTGTTTGCAACTTAATTGCTTCCAAAGTTAAAACTATAAAATCGAAAATCGTCAACCGATGTAGAATATTGCTTAGAATTACAGGGTGTGTAAAAAACTGCAACTCTTAAAATATTCATATAAGTTCGCTTCTATTCAATAACAAAAGATCGTAGGCCCCTGGGAATGATTAAATGTTGCAGTTCTTTTACACACCCTGTATTGTGCCAAATTTTATTCCGATCGGATAATCATGAATGCCAGTGCCTTAAACAGCCCGCCGCACACGAGAGCTATTACCTGAGCTAAAAACCTCGCGAGGCTGTTAGCCCAGCAAGTTTCTCTCGTGTTCGGATAGTTTTCGGGCTTGGAAGAGCGTCCCCCCCCTAACATAATAACGACAACAACAACAGCAACAAGATTGGCAGCGATTAGGGACCAGTTCCTGGTCCAATATTTTACATGTACGGATCGACAAAGTTCGTAAATAAATAAATAAATGTATTTTCTATAAAACCAGGGACTCCAAAATGATACGTCTCCTAGCATCGGGATTTACTGTCAAACAATGAAAGAGGGGAAAAAAAAGGAGAAATGGAAAAGATATTTTATGAAGCTCGAAAAAGGAATTCTGACAGTGCATAAGAGTGCTGAGGTAGATTTGTTTGAAAAACCATTTCTGCATACCATTGTAAACCATTTACATTATGGAGCTAGGGGAAGGGCGGCGGGTTGGTAATATGTATCGCAATTTGCCAATCGTTATGGTAATTTCAGAACTATTACCTTGTATAATCTTCTAAAAATCTTTGTCTGATTCTCACAATATATTGTGACACAGTTTTATTTCATGCAACTGAAGTCTATTGCTATATTATGATGTTGTGTTGAATGCCTTGGTTTACAGAGCAAAGATGAGCAAGACAGCTGGCCCTTATCGGAAACAACACTATATATTGGTGTGGAGAAGGATAAGAAACCATATACTGGGTAGGTGTTTTCTACGAATACTTAAGTTGGTGCTTTCTACGAATACGCTGGTAAATAAAAAAGGAAGGAACTTTATTAATTTCAAGACGTTTGTAGAACAAAATATGTAGATTTATAAAACGAGACTTCAGATCTTAATACTTTCTACTTACAAAACATTACTTTTTGGCCAATACTCTAGTTGTTCTTCTCGTTCGCATACTAAGTTATTTTTTCACGCAGATATGGTTTTACAATCGTCCGAATAGCAAAAGATGGACAGTGTCTTTACAGGTAGATAACATAAGTGTGTTCGAAGGCGGTGATGGTAAAATTTTGAACTGTGCTGAGTTATATACTTTACATATTTTAGATATGTGTGCTTTGACGACGAAAGGGAGCTGTATAGATGGATACACATGTTTTTAAAGTTAAAGGTGAGATCGCTGAAGTCCCAATTGTAATAGATTGCATGCCGATCGATGTCCACGTCGAGGCATGCAAACGCAAAAGAAAACATTGCAGCCTTCAAACCATATAGTAACATAGAGACAACATGGAAGTGAAAGAGAAATCAATGATCGCACGTGTGCTGGTGTGTGCAATACTCTGGAAAGAATTTAAAGTCCGTGTTATGGTTGTTTCCATATAGTAATATAATAAGGAGTCTGTGTAGATTCTCTCATTCACACAGAGTGAAAGCCTGCAATCGTTGGTAAACACACAATCTCCACACTAGATTTACATCTAATTTCCCCAGTGATTAACTATAATTGCTAAACAAGGTCCGTACCTTGTTACGTATTTCTTTTATTTTTTACTTAAAATTGTTTTAAATTATTAGCCACACACCGCTTTGGCCTAGAAATATTTTGATAATTTTTTAGAATATTTTCATTTCCCATGCAATACACACTCTATATTTTATATATTAATAGAAAAAGAAAACCGCGTTGTTAGATCTGGTTCTTAAAATTGACAAGTATATTTCTTAAGTTGGTTCTTTTTCTTATATACAGCTATATTTTTATATTTTAGTATCCACAAATAACGGATTTGTGGACAGATCCTACCCTAGAACCAATTGGATATTACGCGGAGGCTTTGGTAAGGATTGCATGATATATCCTTAACTTTAAATCGAAATTCCAATTTATATATGAGATTCCGAATACTTATCTTCTGAAAAATTTATCTGCAGCTCATTTAAGGCCTGTCTACATGGAGCGAGTTATTCCGGCTCTTTCATTATATGCAGTTGTCACCTCGCCTAGCCGTGATAACTCGCTCCATGTAAACAAGCTCTTAAGCTGCTGTAATTCATGTTCCGCCTATGTCGGTTTCCTGGGGGGGGGGGACAAGTATTTATATATTCCTTTCAACAGACCATAAAAGTCTTTCCTCTTTGAGTTTGCCCTATCTACTATAATATAGCACGCGTTCCCTTTCCTCGCCAGGCCTTGGTGGACCAAAGATCGATTTTTTAAAAACGTCATCTTACTCCAAATGATTATTTTGGCATTTTACGGGCCGTTTACACTTGCAATATTTGCTGTGATTTTCGTCTTTTGATACATGTGGACGAGTGATTTAGTTACTTTTATCGCTCCCTTTCTACCCTCACTTACTCGGAATAATGTTGCCGATTTCTTGTCATGAGGAGCTCTGTTTTATGTTTCAATACGCAATAAACTAGTCACACATTGGCTGGCTTTTATACATCTAAGCATTCGTGACTGATTACTCGTTCCCATCTATCAAAAGAAGAAAATCGCACATAAAATTGCAGCAAAAACGAGCCTTTAGGCATCAGATAGTACAGTCTTAACGAAATAATATTCTATTCACAGGCTGTCAAGCCTCCACTTCCTCGTCAGGTAGGTCATACCTTTCTGCTACTTACTGGGCAGTCGGAGTCATGGATGTAGACTGTATATAAGAATAAACATACTCCGAAGAACCACATGTTGTAAACTCAAGACAAGTATTTTACGGTGATATTTCGACTTTCAAAGTCGTTGCCAAACCAGAGTGATTCTAAAACATTCTTCTTCGGAGTATGTTTTTCTTTGTGTTTTATAAAATTGTCTGCTGGTAATGTTCTTTTTACACATTTGTAACTTTGTATAATGCATGGTGACAAGACAGTGAGCCGCAAAAAAGACGTGGTCTATCTCATAATTAGTCGTCTCTGAAATAGTATATATCTTATATAACCAGTTTTTAGGTCTTATGTAGAAGCCTATATTCCCCATTTTTAAAAGAAAGACCTCGTTAGTTTCCTTTTTGGATTGAGCATTGAAAATGGAAACATGCACAAAAGGATAATTTTAGTATAATACATTAATTTAAGGTAAATCAGTAAAAGGTTTGGTTTAAATTGCAGAAGTTCACTGCTCAATCAGCAATTTTCGAACTAAAATCGATATAAATCAATTGTGATTTTTGGCACTTCACTCGATTCACGCACGTAAATTCTAGGGTTTAAAAGGTCTTAAGTTCGAGTGGAATTATACACGCTTCAAATTCAAGCCAGGAAAAGCAAGAGCAAGAGCATTGCACCGGCATAGCAAAAGCGTAGCTTCGATTCCTGCCGGCGGATCTATATATATATAGTCGACCCTTTTTTTCTTCAACTGTTCTTGGCTTGAATTTGAAGTAAGTATAATTCCACTCGAACTTAAGACCCTTTAAACCCTAGAATCGGTATAAGTTCATATTTTATTCGTCAATTTTGAATTTTATATTTTTGCAGAGGGCACCGAGCAACAGGGTAGGTGGTGTGAGCGTGATGTTAAATGAACTTAAAGAGAGACAGTTAAGAAATTCAGTCAGAAGATAGAATACGTATACGAATCGTGGCCTACAAAGCCAGTAACTGTTTTAAATATGGATGAATTCGTTTCTTATAAACTTCTTAAAATAATAGTATACGACAATAAGTTTCGACATGGTCGATTTGTTGACTTTTAGCCAGCGTTCTAACCTGGTGCCTGAGACCGTTCTTGAGAAACCCGAGGATGTAGTACCATTCTTCAAGCACCAACGTAAAATCATCCGGGCACCGGTGCATGGTACCTTTGATGAATGCTTGCTTTTAGTCGGTTGAATCTGTGTGCCGGTTTACTTTTGTGAACAAGTATTCTTCGTCGTCGTTTCAAATATAATGCAGGTTCAGTTTGGACTACCACTTTCACTACCTCTCGTGGGTGATTGGTTAACCTGATATACTGTAACTACTTAACCTGTAGCTACTTCCCGCATTTGATTGGTTCATGTCTTCACGATGGTAGTGGTTGTGGAAGTGACCGAAAGTCAAACATGAACCTTGCTATTATATACAATTTAGTATGTTGTCAACGGGTGTCTTATGTAGTATTAAGTTCAATAGGAAAAATTCTTTGATTCTATGTCTGAATGGGAAGAAAATTGGTCAGCTCTGACCATCGTGTTAGGGTGATTAAAAGCGTGCAATGTTAACCCCAATGAAAAGTATATATAATAATTAATTTGAGGTCTTCTCAAAAGACCTCTTGTGAGCCACCTCAAAACTTTTTTGCGTTCAAAAATCGTAAAGTTTGTAACCGTAGATAAAATTACCAGTGCCATGTAGAAAAAATCGTTTTTCAGGGAAAATTCAAAACTATATTTTTTTATACGCCCATGGTAAAGCAAATGCAAATAATGTTAACTTGTAACTAGTGTGTTTCAAAACTTGTTTGCGTTGAAAATCGTACAGTTTGTAACCGTAGATAAAATTACCAGTGTCATGTAGAAAAAATAGTTTTTCAGGGAAAATTAGAAACCATATTTTTTTATACGCCCAGTAAAGCAATATGCAAATAATGTCAACTTGTAACTAGTGTGTTTCAATTATACAGCTATTTTATGCAGATGAGACTTCTATTGATCCTTAAAATATTCATTGGAAAACATATTCATAGATTAGGTCTAACTGAGGGTTAGGATATTACACATCGATTATAATTATGCATGAAATCAAAAACTGTATACATATAAGTATAATAAAACATGGTCGGTTAGACTTTAAATTATATATTATAAACACTTCAAAGTAGTGCTACACTGGCGGTCAAAAAGAACTGCTCAAATGTGGCTATTATCGTATATAACAGAAATCGTAACAATCTATATTTTATTGTACACTAGCGGTCAAAAAGAACTGTTCAGATACAAATTCATAAAAAAGAAGCGAATATAGGAGAGAGCTTCATAGGTATTTTGGATAATTCTCTTATTCCAAGCAATATTTCAATAATGTAATGCAACCTGCCACACTTCCAAGATATAGTCAAACAATGGTTTCAGGAAGAGGAAGTGACAGAAATGGATTGGCATGCACAGTCAAAAGGCCTTAACCCTATTGAACATCTGTGGGACAATGTGAAAGGGATAGTGCAAGAAAGGAATGAATTCGTTAAGCGTCCATGATTTATGCGTTGCTTTAAAGACTGTCCATAGGATGAATTTCTTTTGACCATTAAGATTACCACCTTAACAGAAAGTATGCCACGCCGGTGTAAGGCCGTCATCAATTATAAGGCCAAAGGAGGGTCAACAAAATATTAATATTTCATATAGTTTAGCATGTAACCTAGTCTATATTTACTCGTATATATTGTTAGAGGGTCAGTTACGCTCATTTGAGAGCATTTTAACTTGTTTTGAGCAGTTCTTTTTGACCGCCAGTGTACTAGAAGTGCCAAAAAGGAAGCGAGCAGAACGACACAGCCGACACTGTGTATCTTTTAACCAAACGCCAACTGAGGTTTTTTGAACACGTCCTTTGTTGCATGCCTGAGTCAATCCTGTACACCGGGGGCACATTTCATAGTACAAGCACCCATATTGCAAACCTGGCTACATTCCGAAGAATGACACGATAGCACACAGTTCTTCGCATTGCATATATACTTGCGTGCACTCCTCTGCACCTTTTGGACAGGATGTTGTGCAGCCTTCCTGATTACATATATGAGTACATTTTTTGACGTGCAACGAAATGATGCTGAAAGATATTCCGTGGCAACAAATACTTGGGTGCATTCCTCCACGTTGGACCTGCACACTGGTGTACAACCGCTTGTATGGCAGCATTGCATACACTCTAGTGTTAAATGTCATCTCGCAGTTTTTCGCCTCAGTTGAGGTAAAAACCATCTATATATCAGTAGAAGAGAAATGCATATTTCACCATACGAATGAAAAATACGGCAAAACATGGAATATCAGGGAGAAAAATCAAGGAGGTGGGCGTTACCTAAGGCGTTTTCCTAAGAGGCCAAAGTGGTCAAAACGGTCGTATCTTGAATAGACTGCATGTTTTGCTGATAATAAAGCGATGAAATAACCTCGTTCCCGCCGAGGTACGAGCCTCTGTGTTTGATTAAGTAACGGTAAATAACAATATACAGTTATATACTAGAGAAACACTCCAAAATACCAGTAATCTTTCTGCAATGAAACATAAAAGAACCGGTCTGGCTTTTTTACCGTATAATGGTGAGCGCCCCTAGATATAGGCCCCTTAAAGTTATTAAATTTCCTGTGAAGAAAGTGAGTTTTCGGTCGTGAGCTTTCTCATTTTTCCGGCTGTAATTTAAACGACCTAAATCCGCTTTTCCACTAGCGATACTTTTTGCATGAAGCGAATTTATCCTTTGGTATATTTGTTCAGATGGTTGCAGTTGAGAGATAACGTGTTATCCCCTGCAGAGTGAGATAACGTGTTATCTCATGGGAAATAACAACTTTAATCACATGCCGCGCACCTGGGCGTGCGACTTTTTGACAGTTTATCCATTTGAAATTATGTCTTTTATGAATAGATATTTTGTGGTTTATTCACTTTCAAAATTGATGATTTTCTAAAATTTTCTAAAATGTGTTAACATGCTGAAAATGCCTTAATTAAAATGTTTAGTAGCACAATTTTTTTCGTTTTCAACGCATTTGATTTGTTTTTTGAATATTGAAAAATTCGTAAATTAATGAAGTTAATCTATTTCGTTTTTGAGCATATTTGTTTTTGAGCAATGAAAAATCCAAAAATATAATTTCGTCCTAAATAATCACGGATACGTAATCCTACCATTTTAGCCAAAATTGACAATTTTCGAAAATTTTCTGAAATATCTTAACGTGCTGAAAATGAATTCTACAGCCCTTACCATTTTTGCTGAAACTTTGAAGTTAATGAAAGACAGTGCAGTTTTTTAATTTCCGAATTTTGAATATATAAATTAACATTTTCCTCAAATTTTGTGACCTGCGAAATTAGAGTAAAATAAAAAACAATCTCACCGTAACCATTAGCTTCACCTGGGCGAGGTAATGGATGGACCAATTGATGGACCACTCGTTTGCTCAATGGACCATATGGTGATATGGATCATATCTGTGATATTTTAGCGTCAGCATAAATGTTGATAGTATAATTAGGTGAATGCTACGAATGAGATTCATTTTTGCGTGTTTTAGACAACAAAAAAAATCATCATCAAAGTAAACTTTATGTAAAATCCTTCGAAAAAAGGTGGAGTAAAAAAAAATAGTGTAGTAATTCGCCAGACGTTCTGCTGATCTAGTGGTGAAGGCAATGCTATTCTTTTTTCAAAGCCTACCATAACCGTTTTTCATTATGAACTTTGTGAAAAGGATGAAGTAAGTTAAATAACCATAACCGTTCAGCAGAAGATCTTTTAGTCAATTTGTCAAGATGTTGGTGTCATGACAGTCATGTGTCGGCAGTCGAAGGTTCGAATCACGTTTTAGATGGAATTTTTCGTTACTAATATTACATGGTAAGTTTATGGAGAATAAGTTGGTGTAGGCTTCCAACAATGCAATGCTTTCCTTTTTTCAAAGCCTACCATAACCGTTTTTCATTATGAACTTCGATAAAAAAAGGATAAAGTAAGTTAAATAACCATAACCATTCAGCAGAAGAACTTGTAGTCAAGTGGTCAAGATGTTGATATCATGTGTCGGCAGTGGCGGGTTCGAATCTCGTTTTAGACGGAATTTTTCGTTACTAATATTACATGGTAAGGTTATGGAGAATAAGTTAGAGTAAGCTTCTAACAATCACCAAATAGCCTTGTGGTAAAGTCGTGGCCTATGAAGTGCAAGATCGAGGTATCAAGAACAGGATAGTACGTTTCTCGTGGCGGTAAAATAAACAAACAATGGTAGGTATGTTGCTCGGGGGAGCTTTGTACTCGGTTAATCTTTGGAAATCAAAATTAATCTTTAGGGAAATCAGGGGATAGGTAAGGTGAATGAGGGGTATATGAGTACAAAAAGACTTAGTAATTGGGCGGCCACGGCTCCCGGGGGCAGGAAAGAGGGTGTAGGTGAAAAAACGCTTTATAAAATGTTTAAGTCTTTTTGTACTCATTTAAACCTCTTTACTCCTATCTATCCCTACTTTTTATTATCCTCAAATATCCCTAACTATCCCCTAACACAACTAAATGTTTGAAGAAAGCTTGCTTTGAAAGTCGGGAAAGGCGGGGGAAAGACAACCCCCCTCAGTCTACTCCTCGCCCAAGGCGAAGGCATAAATCACCCTCTCGAACTACTCCTCTCACACTCACAAATTCTCACTTTATTACCTTGTTCTTTTTCAGTTTATCCAGGACTTGAACCATCGTCTATATACTTGGCAGATCACCATCTTCACCACTACACCACCAGTTCTACAGTTTTTTATTTTACTTAATCCTTTTTTGGAAGGATCTTTGATGAAATTGAAGAAAAAAACATTCCCAACCCGAACTCGAACTTTCGCCTTTAAACTCGGAGAGCACTGCCTTCACCAGGAGACCACATGCACGAACCTGCGGTGAAAGGCTACACTTTTTTATTACTTAATACCTTTTTGGTAGGATCTCAATGAAAAACAATTTAAATAAGTTTAATGTTCATGATTTCTGTTCATGATTAAAACACACACAACTGTATCTTATTCGCAGCTTGTAACCTAATATTAGCCATTTGTGTTGTCGCTAAAATATCACAATATAGGTATGAAGTGGCTTAAAGTACCATCTTTCCATAAGTTGGTTATATGCGGCCCAAGTGACGGTAATGGTTACGGTGCGATTGTTTTGTATTTTTAATGAAGTGAAGTTAAAGTACAAGAATTAACAATGCATTTAAAAATAGGTTTAAAAGAAAAAAAGTACAAGAGTTAAGAATGTATGTGTTTAAAGGCGTATATATAATTATAGTCATGAGGCAACAAGAATGAACCTCGTACTCTCGAGATTACATTTGAAATCGCATTTCAAGCAAATATCCAGTTAAACTATTGACTATTTATTTCAAGACTTTGTTGTTTACAGAGTCGAAACACTAGCTTGTTTAGCCGGTTCGTCGAATATTAAGTACGCTAAGAAAAACGAAGTTCAGTTCAATAGCGCAATTATTAGCAATGAATGCAAAGCGCAAACGATTAAGTCAAATAAGGAACTATAACTTATCGAGAAACGATGTGGTCGTCAAGTGGTTAAGAATTCGGTCTCTTCATTCCAAAGGTTCAAGTATTAGATTAGCGTATTTTATATTCGACGAACCGGCTAGACCAGCTAGTATTTTGATTTTTTATACAATAAAAATAAATAGTCAATGTCTGTTAATAATTGGATATTTGCTTCATTTGTGATTTCAGATGTAATGCTTGTTGCCTCATATATAGAGTTATATACATTTAAACGAATTCATATTAGAGACGGGAAACTCATCGAAGACAGGAAACTCAATGAAGACGGGAAGATCGTCTGATGTAAATTACAGACGGGTTTCTCGTTCAAATTTTCCCGTCAGGCTAACTTTTCCGTCTAAAGAGACGGGTAATTTGGGCGGGAATCCAGTCTGGGAGAGAAACTCGTCTTAAATTCGCATTTAAACGGATAAATCAAAGAATTTCAGAAATATTAGCATTAAAGACGGATATCCCAATTCACATTCAGACGGGTTTTGACGG